GAAATATAGTTTCCCTGTTCTTTGGCAATGAGTAGCATATTTTGATACAGTGTACTTTGTGTTAGAGCTTGAGGATTCCACTTTCTTTGTAGGTCTCAAAAGAATCAGGTCCTTCGTGGAGATTTGGTAGTTGTGCTGTATGTAGCAGGGTATGTGAGGTTGCTCTTCTTCACTGAACAACTGTAGACATTCTTAAATGGTTTGGGAGAAATAGATTGGAGATCCCTCTTAGATGTGGTATCCACAGTCATTTTTTCTTTTGTTTTTTTTTAAACCAGGGATTGAACCCAGGGGCACTTTACCACTGAGCCACGTCCCAACCCTTTTTATTTTGTATTTTGAGACAAAGTCTCGCCAAGTTGCAGAGGGTCTCCCTAAGTTGTTGAGGCTGGCTTTGTGATCCTCCTTCCTCAATTTCCCAAACTGCTGGGATTATAGGCATGTGCTACTGCACACATCCCAGTCTTTGTTTTAATTCTCTTTTTGCCATAGGAGTGGGTGTCTATGTGTGGGGCCCAAGGGCCATTCCCAAGCCATTCATACTTAGGGCCTGGTCATTAATTTGGAGTTTTTGTCACTTCAATTGTTTGTATCAAAATATCACAAAGTTTGAGCATGGTAGTTTGTGTGTGGAGCAAGATACAGCATCTCTTGGCTGGGATTAGCTCAGCAGCAGAGTCTCTACCCTCTTAATTTGTAGTGTCCCAATAGCATCCCAGCACTCACTGAGAAGCAATAATCCTGCTGCTTGAATCTCAAACCATGGAGCAACTGAAATCATAGCCACCCTCTACTCCACCATCTTGATCTTCTACCCTTTGATAACTAAACAGGCATCCTGATGGCTTATTAGGTGTCTTGTTAAGTAAGGCTCAAATCTGACCTTTTCAGTAGTACTGTTCTTTTTTAATTCACCCAAACTGACTGTTACCTTTGCCCTATTTTTTTTTGTCTAATGATAGAGCCAATCTCTATCATTACCATGATAAGTATTTCTTCTGTTGGATCAGGGGAGTGTTCTTAAATGATCTTTAAATTCTCTTCTGGCCATAAATTTCTGCAATTATATGTTCCATTTGCACATGTTAGCCCAGACACTTAAAAATCAGAGTATTTTATCATGTGTTAGTCTTTTTAACTCTTACTTTTGACTCCTTCCGTCATTTTCTTTTAAGAATTCTTGGCCTTCACAGTGCCTTTTCTGCAGCCAAAACTATAAAGGCAGTGCAGTTTCATTTATCAAGCATTATTCTCTCTTCTGCTCTTGTGTACATTAATACAGCAGGAGTGGGAGCCCTTTATTGTAGGACAGGAGTGGTATATATACATTCCACACAGCTTATCTTAATTAACATAAACTAGATACAGCAGTCAACCAATAAGGAATCTCCACACTTAATGGCTCACTGGCGTTACTTCACAAACCACTCCCTGTGGCAAAATGCCAGGCGCCATCCAGACTTGTTTACAGACCCTAACATGTTACCACTGGAGAAAAAGTCAAACAAAACACCAAATGTAGTATAGCACAGTTTAGGAGAAAGGAAAGATGTCCTCAAGGGAAAGAATGGGTTGTCTCCAGACAGGAACAACTTGCCCCTTTGTTCCTTAGTTTTTAAAACTGGGGTCTTATGGAAGTTTCTAGAAAGTCCCACCTAGCTACTACCTCCCAGTTCCTGACTGACAGTAGAATAGCATCAGATTTTTAAGTTTCTGCTGTGCGTTATTTTACCGACAGGTACCCAGGCAAAATCTATGGGGGGTGCAGTAGATGTTACTATTACAGAGATATTAAAATGATATGCTGAAGATCTGAAGACAACTCTCGGTCACTTCGGCTCATGGTGACCAACTCTATTTGGAACATGTTTTAGAGATTTTATGTTCATTGACTTTTGCTTCTAATTATCTTCTCTTCCTGAGTCTTCAAATCTTTGGTCTGTATAAAGGTCTCAAAAATTCCCTTTCAGGACAAGTTATGTCCTCCTCATTGGCAGGGTGGGGTATTCCATTTCTTGCAATAGCTGTGAGGATAACAAGTTGTTTTGCAATGAATGTAACATCCTATTGACTTAAGCCAGAACAGTACCAAACTGGTCTTAGGTAATTGCTTTTAAAAGAAAGCACGTCAAACACTTTTTTATATAATTGTTGATCAGTTGTGTTTCTTCTTCTGTGAAAGTGTCTGTTCAGTTCCCTAGCCCATTTATTGATTGGGTTATTTGCTTTTTTGGTGTTGAGTTTTTTGAGTTCTTTATATATCCCACAGATTAATGCTTTATCGGAGGTGCATGTGGTAAAGATTTTCTCCCAATCTGTAGGCTCTCTCCTCACTTTATTAATTGTTTCCTTTGCTGAGAAAAAGCTTTTTAATTTGATTCCATCCCATTTATTAAATTTTGATTTTACACCTTGCGCTTTAGTAGTCTTGATAAGGAAGTCAGATCCTAGGCCGATGTGGTGGAAGATTTGGGCCTATTTTTTCTTCTATTAGACTCAGGGTCTCTGTTCTAGTGCCTAAGTCTTTGATTGACTTTGAGTTGATTTTTTGTATAGGACTATAGCTAGAGGTTTAATTTCATTTTGCTACCTATGGATTTCCAGTTTTGCCTTTTATTGAATAGACTATCTTTTCTTCAGTGAATGTTTTTGGCACCTTTGTCTAGTATGAGATAACCATTTTTATGTGGGTTTGTCTCTTGTGTCTTGTATTCTGTACCATTGGTCTACACATCTGTTTTGGTGCCAATACCATGCATTTTTATTACTACAGTTCTGTAGTATAGTTTAAGGTCTGGTATTGTGATGTCTCCTGCTTCACTTTTCTTGCTAAGGATTGCTTTAGCTATTCTGGGTCTCTTATTTTTCCAAATAAATCTCATGATTGCTTTTTCTAATTCTATGAAGAATGTCATTGGGATTTTAATAGGAATAGTGATGCAACCACATCAATGTTTATAGCAGCTCAATTCACAATAGCTAGACTATGGAACCAACCTAGGTATCCCTCAGTAGATGAATGGATAAAGAAAATGTGGTATATGTACTCAATGGAATATTACTCAGCTTTAAAGAAGAGTAAAATTATGGAATTTGCCAGTAAATGGTTGGAGTTGGAGAATATCATGCTAAGTGATATAAGCCAACCCCATAAAACCAAAGGCCAAATGTTTTCTCTATATGCAGATGCTAATTCACAATAAGGCAGGTGGCACTAGGGAATAACATCACCTTAGATTAGGTAGAGGGAAGTGATGGAAGGGGAGGGGAGGGGATGTGGGGATAGGAAAGATAGTAGAATGAAACAGACATTATTACTGTATGTATATATGTGACTACATGACCAATATGATTCTGCAACATGTACACTCAGAAAAATGAGAAATTATATCCCATCTATGAATGATATATTAAAGTATATAAATGCATTCTACTGTCATGTATAACTAATTAAAAACAAAAATAATTTTTTTAAAAAAGAAAGCATGTCGAGGGCCAATGCACCGGCTCGGTCTGTAGAATTATCCCCTTAACTTCATATTCCTACTACTCTTGTCTGTTAACAGCAGAATATGTTAGATTCTCCTTTCTTAATAGTACTTTAAATTTCTTTGGTTTAGTTGGAGTTACATATTCTAACTTTTAAAGAAAGATGATTATGTTTAAAGTAGAATTTCTTATGCCTCAAACTGTTAGTATGTTTCATAGACTCAAGATAGTTATTAAGTATTTAATTCATGACTATAGACATAAGATAAATCTGCCTTATATTTTCAGGAAATCTACATAGAATTTAGAGAGTCAAATTTTAGGCTTGTGATTCAGTTTAAAAGCAGTGAGTTTTAATTTCTTCTGTGTATAAAAGGTGTGAGGCCCTTTATTTATTTAAGGCTCTTCTCTACTGATTTGCCTTTACCCCTCCACCACTCCTCTTTTCACTTTATGCTCTAGTAATTAAAACTTTACATTGTAATATGCCTAGTTTTCCTATGAAGAAAATACTGAATCTCTTGAGTTACCAAATAAGTTCTCTCATTTCATGAAGCCCTGTGCTTTTGTAAATTTCCATTCCTTTGGCTTAGAGTCTTTTCAGCTGTTACCCCTTCCTGTCTTTTAGTCTTTTACTTCTCAAACTTAAATGGTTACATACATTACAAGGAGATCTTGTGAAAAGGTAGATTGTGGTTCATAGGACTGTGATTGAACCCAAGATTTGCCAATTAACAGCATCTCAGAAGATGCTGATGCTGCTGGCATCTGGAACATACTTTCAGTAACAAGAATCTTGACTCTTGACGAGATTTGTTGTCCTCAAGACTGTTTCTTCAGACTTTGCCCTCTTATTTCCATGGGCAAACCTAATTACTCCTTTACCAGGGATGTCATTGCCAATATTTGCCTCATTATGTATCTTAATGTAATTATTTAGTATCTCCTTCTGTGTTCATTGCAAATTTTTGCTTACAGAGACTGTGTCTTTCATCCCTTTATTTCCAAAGCGTGCCCCACTGGTTAGGGGAAAATAGGGTTTCATCAGATTTTTTATTGCCGATTGTTTATTAAGTTTTTGTTGCTGTGACCAAAAGACCAGAAGAGAACAGCTTAGAGGAGGAAGAGTGTATTTTGGCTCACATTTTCAAAGTCAGTCCATGGTAGGCAAACTCCGAAGTCCTGGGTTTGAGCTGAGGCAGAACATCATGACTAAAGAGCATGGTGGAGAAAAGCAGCTCAGGACATGGCAACTAGGGAGCAGAGAGAGGACTCCATTCACCAGGGACAAAATATAAACCTCCATTGATCTTCCTCCTCCAACCATAGCATACCTACCTACCTAGCATACCTACCTAGCCCAGTGCCTAGCCCTATCAGTGAATTAACATAAATGGAAACATATAATATATAACATATAGTATACATGATAACGTGATATTTTTCAAGGTAACTTTGTAGAAGGAAGTGTTTTAGAAAACTAATGACAATTATTTTTCTTTTCGTCCAAGGAGAAGTACAAATGTCTACCACAAGACGAAAACGTAATATGTTATGTTGTTTACCGTAAGCTGTAGTAAAATGAGCTCAATTGTTGACAGGTATGTTTTTAGAAACTCCTTATTTTGAATTATATAAGACTACTTTAAATTCACTATTAAACAATGGTCTATATCAAATCAATAGAAGTTTTGTGCTTAAACATAATTACTATTATATTTAATTTTTGTATTGAACAAACATGACAAACGTGTTATAAAGTAAGGTACATAAGTATTTTACAAGAGCCAAAGTCAGCAGCATATGGCTTGTGATTTAAATAGGTCTTGAATTGTAATTTTGAATAATTTGGTCAAAAGCTGCTCTGAAGGAAATTGTAACAATTGCAAATGTTTCCTTGGCACCTTCTAGAATCTCTTGGTGCTAACTTCATCCCTTCAAGCATCTTGGCATTTGTGACTGATGAGAGGTAACTATAATTGGGATTATTATGAAACTGGGGAGAGAGAATACCTTTTATTATGCTCCACTAAATCTCAGAAAACAGGTTGGTAAGGGAATAGATTTTATTCAAAGCCAGCTCTGAGGAAAATAGAGATCTTTTTCTTTCTCAGATTTCCATTTTCGGGGACTTAGGTGAAAAGAAAACTTTCATAGGAGGTGAGGAGTCACAGTGTGAAAAAAGGTAGGGTAGAAAATATACATATATTATATACATAAATCTATATATGTAGGTTTAACTAGGAAACAATTCTACCAGCTTCCCTGGTGCCCATTAGATCCAGGGATCAGGTCCTCAGCCTTCATTCTTAGAGGAAATTCGGACGTTAAAACAGTTTGGTGCTTGCAGATTCAAAGAGAATCTCTTTGAATTAGTTGAATTTTAACCTTTAAATTTCACTCTTGGGAAAAGGACAAACCTTATTTCTTTGACTCTAAGGTGTTTTTTTTTTTTGGTTGTTGTTGTTGTTGTTTGTATTTTAGCATTTTAACATCTAACATTTGGTGAGTCTTAGAATTAACTTATAATTTAATTGGTAGCATTTTTTCCTTAGGATACATAAGTGTGAATCGTATAGCTAGTAGGGTCTTAAATTTGATGAAATAGAATAATTTTGAAGCACCTACCCTTCAACAGCATTTTTAAAAAAGATTTTAAAAAAAACATTCAACAGAATTTTTTTAAAGAAAATTTTTGGTAGTTGTAGATGGATAGAATGCCTTTGTTTTATATGTTTATTTTTATGTGGTGCTAAGGACCAAACCAGTGCCTCACACATGCTAAGCAAAGCACTGTGCCACTGAGCTACAACTCCAGCCCCAAAATATTTTTACATATTATTTTATTTAACCTCACAATTTCATAGGATTTTACAGTTGTAGGTCAAGGAGGTTGAATAACTTGTTTAAGGTCACATAGCTGGTAAGCAATGAGCTGGAATCTTAACCTGTGTTGATATGTCTGACCCTAAAGTTACGTGCCTTTATTATACTGCACACTGTGATTTGCCTGTGGAGGATTCTTTTTTAAGAGTTTTACCTGAGTTGCACACAGAAGTGACTATTGACATCTGAAGGCAGCCCTCTTCCCTTTCTGAGAACTAAATAGTGATAATTTGTGTTCTACCAGAACGTAAGACCTGAGGGGCAAAGAATTTCTTTAGGGAGGTTGCCTCACAATGACTATAGCTTTGGATCCTGCCATAGTTGCATATGTAATCTCTGAGAACTCTTCCCTCAGAAGGGATATTTCTTCACTGCCCCAGAGGGATTAAATATGATTTTGCTCCTAGGTTTTTTAATGATTGCCAGTTTTCATTCTAGAAAATAGGACTTTAGGTCTGATATCTATGTGTTGATACATAAAGTGGGTTCCTTATGTCTCTGAATATTATGATTTGGGGGCATAAATAGAATCCCTAAAATCTAGTCACGGACTTCCATGAAACACAGTTTACGGCTTACCTCAATAGTGAATCCAACAAGCACCTTGTGGGCTACTAGCCTTTTTTTTGTTTTAGTTGTAGTTAGACACAGTTCCTTTATTTTATTTTATTATATGGTGCTGCCCCACAAATGCTAGGCGAGCGCTATTATCGCTGAGCCACAACCCCAGCCCTGGCTACTAGGCTTTATGAGTCCTAGAAAGCTGTGGCTAAAGTAGTAAATGGAGAATCCACACAAAAGTTCATAAGCCACTGGAAACTGTTTAATATCATTCCTTAGCTTAAGAAGTTAGCCACTAGTACTCTTGATGTAATTCTCTATAATATTCTTCCCTCGGTTCCTTCCATAGCTACTCTGTCTTGTCACTTAGATCACTGCTCTCCATCTCAATATATCCTTCCCTAAATGGAACTTGACTGGTCCTTCGTCATGCATTCAAGCTAAAGTAACCCCCAGTAACTAAAACATTATCTCTTTTATAAAAATAAGACCTATTGTCACAAATTTTCATGTTTATTTCTACTAAAAAATAAGCTGTAAGAGAGCAGCTACATGTCTTATTCACTGCTTTGTAACACATCCAAAATAGACCCCAGTACATGAGTGCTAATAAATATTTGTCAAATAGATCAGTAAATGGATGAAAAGGTATTAATGTGTTAAATATTTATTTTTTAGTTGGACACAATAGTTTTATTTTGTTTATTTTTATGTGGTGCTGAGGATTGAACCCAGAGTTTCGAACATGCTAGGCAAGCGCTCTACCACTGAGCCACAACCACAGCCCTGTTATTATAGTTAATAAAAATAATTCCAAGTGAATAATTTATATAATGACAAATGGACTTTCTATAGGTTTTCACTGGTCATTAAAAGTTTGAAACAAGATATTTAAAATGGTTAATTTCTTGCTTAGCATTGTTGCTGTGTATCTATAGTAGTGCTAAGATAAATACTTCTAAAATTTACATATGTAAAAAACTTTCAAAATTTAAACATAGCTGAACTTTATTAGAAAATAGGTTAGTAGTTATTGAGCTTGTGCAATCCATTGACTTTACAAACATCCTAGGATTTAACCAAATGAAATCACCTGGCACTTTAGTGTTGCTGTTGCTTGGTTAGTCTGCTCTTACTTTATATACTTTCTTCTTTCTTTTAGAGATGACAGTAGTATTTTTGATGGGTTGGTGGAAGAAGATGACAAGGACAAAGCAAAAAGGTAGCTTGATGTGAGATGTGAAATAGGAAATAAATGAATGATACATAAATGTAATTGTGAGCAAATAGAAAATTAATGATTTCCAAGAGTTATCTTCTTTTAGAATTTATGTATATTAGCAAAGGAGAAGAGTTTAGAACATCAATATGCAGTTTATACATTAAATAAAATTATTCTTTGGCCTTTTGGAAAAATATTTATGCTTAAACAAAAACTAAAAGAAAAATCTGATTTATAGAGCAAGTAATTGGATTTCTTATAAAATGATTAATTGCTTTATAAATAATTGGGTTTATTTGTCTCAAGAGCCCTTTGTTATTGGTTGCTGCTTCACATAGAATAACAATAATTATTTATTAATGCTTAGGTGAAAAATTGGGGCTCATTTCCTAATAGAGAGAGAGATACAAAATGTTACAACTCTATATTGGAGGCTGGGTCTTTGAAGTATAGATTATTCACCTTTGTGAGTAAATCTGGGAGTAGAGAAAGTTTCATTTTTAGACGTGTGTATAGTTTAAAACTTACATGGTGGGTAATTTTTTCCTATTCACTAGTTTTTAATACATATTCCATATATTTCCATAAAATGTATCTCATTAATGTTTATAATCTTGTAAATTTATAATCCTTGGGAATATTAGAGAACTGAAACTTGCAATGTGAACTCAGTTTGTCTTATTGGTATTTTCATACAAAACATGTTTGTCGAATGTTGGATAAATCAAAGCTTCTTAAGTGGTAAACTGAGATGAAAATTTGTTGTCAAGATTAACCCTATATTGTTGGAAACCTTGGAAATAAATATTTATCACTGTCTGTATTTACAGAAATACATGTTATGTTGCATCCAAATTGAGTTTTTAAATTGTTTTGTAATAGTTTGTTTAAAAAAACCTGCTTATTTAATTTCTTTTCTCATTAGAGTATCAAGAAACAAATCTGAAAAGAAACGAAGAGATCAATTTAATGTTCTTATTAAAGAACTGGGATCCATGCTTCCTGGTAATGCTAGAAAGATGGACAAATCTACTGTTTTGCAGAAGAGCATTGATTTTTTACGAAAACATAAAGGTAAATTTTTAATTTGTAAAACTTTTTTTGTTGTTGTTTTTGAATAAGACTATCTCTTAAAGTATAATGAGTTAGGATCTTGGCACAGATGTGGAAGATTGGATCCTCCCTCAACTTTATTCAAAGAGTTTTTTGTTGATAATGTTGTTATTGGTTTTTAAGAGATCTTGCAAAGTTGCCCACGCTAGCTTCAAACTAGCAATCCTCCTGCTTAGTCTCTCAAGTAGCTTGGATTATGGACATGAAAGAAACCAATCACCTTTATAAACAGATTTCCTGGTATGTTCTTTCTTTCACTCAACTAACAGTTATTTCGTGCCTACAATATCCTAGATCTTTATGATGCAGGATAACATTCTTGGTCCTCAAGTATCTCAAGCCAGGGGAGACAAACATTAAGTAGATAATTATAATACAAATGACCATGATATGAATAATGCTTAAAAACTATAAATTCGCAATGGTAACACAAAGGAAAGAATATATCAGATAAAACTTTAAAATAATTAATTTTTCAACTGAGTCTTAGATTAAGTAAGGAAAACTTCATTTTACATAAAAGAAGGTAGCATATGCAAAAGAGAAGCAAGGAGACTTCATTGTAACTGGAGCATGTTTTGTTGGAATGTTATGGGTGATTTGAAAGAAGGGAAAAGATCACATCTAATAAGGGCCTTGTAAGGGGCTGGGGTTGTGGCTCAGTGGTAGAACACTTGCCTAGCATGTGTGAGCACTGGGTTCGTTCCCCAGCACCACATAAAAATAAAAACAAATAACTAAAGGTATTGTGTCCATCTACAACTAAAAAAAATAAATAAATAAAAGGGTGGGTGGTTGGGGATGTGGCTCAAGCGGTAATGCGCTCGCTGGCATGCGTGGGGCTCTGGGTTAGATCCTCAGCACCACATAAAAAAATAAATAAAATAAAATAAAGATGTGTCTACCGAAGACTGAAAAATAAATATTAAAAAATTCTCTCTCTCTCTCTCTCTCTCTCTCTCTCTCTCTCTTTTCTCTCTCTCTCTTTAAAAAAAAGGGGGGGGGGAGCTTGTAAGTTATTTTAAAAGGTAATTTCAGTTTATAGCTGAGAAATAAACATGATATTTTAAAAATTGAATATTTGTTAATTAATGAAAATCACCTTAACTAAACAATTCATGAAAAGAAAATTTGAAGGGGGCTGAGGTTTGTAGCTCAGTTTTAGAGCACTTCACTTACTTATCATGTGCAGGGCCCCAGGTTACAACCCTAGCACAAAGGGGAAAAAAAATTCAAGAATATCAAGCGTTTTGGTAGCAGATATACTAGATTAGAAAAAATGATAAAAGGATATTTCATTTTTCAGACTTAAATGAAACTGCAGAACTTTTCAGGAGGAGAGATAGTAATTAGTGCTTCTTTTTTACTTCTCCCTAGCTCACTTAGTAATGCCTCACTAGACTGGTTTATGTTTTACCACTCTTTGAAATTACTGTTGTTAATTTCATTAATGACATTATCCACTCATCCCCAGTAAATCAAAAGCTTTTTCTTACACCTCATCCTCTTGTATATATCTATAAACCTGGAAATTTATATCCATTCTTCATTGGCTTTCTTTTCCCTTGGCTTCACTAAATTGTACTGCTTCTTCCCTTTCTTAATTAAAATTACTTTCCTCTTTCTTTCTTTTTCTATAAATGGGATGTTTCTCAAAGGCTTATCCTTGTGCTCTTAATTTCTCTACATTTTTTCCTTGGTTGCCTCCTTCTATAGATTTGGCAATAGTATCTCTATTAACCCATTTTGTTCATTTGTCCCAGATGTGGAACATCTGCTTAAATATAGTATTATATATTACATAATATTATACTTTTACCACATTTTTATTATATTTACTCATATTAATAATATGCAAGTTCTGGATTATGATTTCCAACCTATTTTAACCCACATCAGTTTCATTGAAATATTTGCAGAATTGAAAACTTGAGACTTAATGGGTTAAACTATCAAATCTTTTAGATACAAAATATTCAACCTTGTATTTTCAGATAACTTCTAGATACTTCTTTTGCATAGTCTCCTCAAACTCAGTACATCTAAAACTGATTTCATTTCCCTTTTGTCAAGTCACTTCTTTCTCTTAACTTAGCTTTTTCATTTTTATCCCACCATTTTTTTAGTCAGCCAGGACTCAAACTTAAAAATACTTTTGGATTTTTTTTTTTATATACTTCAGCACCATAAGAGAGTTACCAAATTCTGTTGATTTGTTTGTAAATGTATTAGAATTGCTTACCTTCATTTTTATTGCCATGACTGTCATTACATTTTACCTTTATAAATAGTATTCTTACTAATCTCATCACCCTTTGATAGATGGCATATTTATAAAATCAGTTTCTTAGACACTATAGGAATTTAATAAATAATTATTGAATGAAATGGCTCAAAATGCATGCTTTTCCCTCTGACAGTAGAGGATTAATTTGAGCATTAAGTAGATCATTTTTCCCTCCAAAATTGAATATATAATTTTTACAAAAATAAAATTTATGTTAAAGGGTAATTTTTAAGTACTTAACCCTGTGAAATTGGCCTGTGTTTAAACTTCACTGGGTTTGCTTGAGAATTTAAGACCTTTTCCCTAAATTTATGTAATTGATATGAATTTTAAAAGAATGACTGTATTCCATGGAATTAGTAGCTATGCCTTTTAGTTACTCTTCATATATTATATGCCTCTCAAGTGAGTAGCTGGGATTATAAGCCTGCACCACTTTGCCCAACTGCTTGTTCTTATACTTATTTGGTCATTGCATGAAACAGAGTGCAATCTCAGGCCTGCCTATCATCCATAAAGGCTATCAGAGATAGTTCCTTAGGGTTTAAAAAACAAAAACAAAAACCGTTGACTGGTATTAACAAAGAGATAACTTCCCACATTAACACAAATATTTTATTTTACACCAGAATCTGGCCTCTTGATATGTAGACCAATAAATGTTGTTGCCTGTCATTCTCATCTTTAATTGGAGTGATTGGAGGATGTCACTAATGTGTCAATCTGTTTACAGAAATCACTGCACAGTCAGATGCTAGTGAAATTCGACAAGACTGGAAACCGACATTCCTTAGTAATGAAGAGTTTACACAATTAATGTTAGAGGTATGTTCAGAATTAATTTTTGAAAAGTTTTGTTTTCCTCCACAAAGAAATCATAGGTGTGTGATTAATTGTTACATAGTCTTAGAAGTGTTGTTAATAATGGAAGATCTTAATTCACTGCAATTATGTATTCAATTAAAGTTTATCAAGTGTTATAAACAAATAATACTGTTTGATAGAGTAGCACCAAATTTTTATATTTTCAGTACCTGAATTTTTGAGATACTTAATGAAAGTCTATACTGAATTCTGAACCTGAGACTATACCAACTGCATCTGAAAAAGCGTAGAATTATTACTCATTACATGCTAGATATTATTATGAAATATGTCTGTTTTAGTCCATTTGAGTTGCTATACCAAAATACCATAAACTGGGTGGCTTGTGAAAAACAGAAATTTATTTCTCACAGTTCTAGAGGCTAACAGTCCATCAGCAGACTTGATGTCTGGTGAGAGCTCTTGATTCCTTGTTCATAGATGGTTGTCTTTTTTCTTTTACTTTCTTTACCGCCCCCCCCCCCCCGCCCCGTATGGGGAGTTGAACCTAGGGGTGCTTAACCACTGAGCCACATCCCAGTCCCATTCCCAGCCCTTTTTATTTTTTGAGTCAAGGGCTTCACTAATTCACTGAGGCTGGCTTTGAAGTTGTGATCCTTCTGCCTTAGCCTCTGGAGCTGTTGGGATTACATGCATGTGCTTCCATGCCTGGTTTATCTTTTTTCTGTGACTTTATGTGGCAGCAGGAGCAAAGAAGCTCTGTAGGCCCACTTTTATAAGGGCACTAATCAAGTCCAACCTTCAAATACACTCATCTCATGAATTAGACTTCCACATAGGAATGTTTCAGAGGGACCCAAACATTCAGTCTATAGTAGTATCCTACTGGGCAGGAGACTATTTTTTTAAACCCTGAATTAAAATCTGCCCCAAACAACACAAAATAATAGAAAAAGAAGAGTTTGGAAAAATATAAATAGAAAAATAAAAAGTGAAATTTAGTAGAAGCTTTTAAAAGGAAATGAACAGATGTTCTTCTGTGACAAAATTATTTGAAGAACAATTCAGAGCACTTTTGCTTGTAATAACAGAACCTAATACCTCATACAACCAGTAATAATACCACAAAAGTTTTGAATTACTTACATTTATTAATTTTACTTTTCTACTTTTTAATCCTTCCCCATGGAGAATAATGTAGGTGTCACCTAAGCATACAAAGTATACAGAATTTATTATCAAATTCCTACAAAAATTTATAATAGGAGAGAGGTAGTTTGCTAAGTTAAGGACAAGAAAAATACATATAGTAGACATAAATGCAAGAAAGCATTTGAGGTGAGGATATAGAGATTGTTAAATGTACTCACCTCTGTCCTTTGCGTTTATTATTTTAGATATTAAGCATTTATCTTTATAACATATGTATATGTAATGTCTGTGTCTCAAATATCTTTGTATATTTACTAAAGTCTGAAGCAAAGTATTTTGCAAATTAGAGTTTTTCTGCTTATACTTTAGGTGGAACAGTTAGTTGTTGGACTAAGTCTTTTTGTATTCCCCAGAAACATTGTCTTATGAAAATTTGTTGGAATATAAATGTGTTGTAAAATTTAAATCTCTACTTTGAAACTGAAAAATAACTGAGCACTTTTCACTTGTTAACTCATTGAATCCTCATAACAATCCTAGACTGTAGTATTTGTGTGTCATAATAACTAATATTATGAAGTAGATATTAATATCTTTTTCACTTCCATATAGGGAAATTAAGTAACAAAGGCATTATGAAACTTGTCTAAAATCACACAGCTAGTAAGTAGTGACTCAGCTGGGATTCACTGCCGGCAGACTGGCCTCTGATCCCAGACCCTTAGTTACTGTGGACATTGCCACCAAATTTTTATTTTTAGTGAAAGTCAACCATGGCAAGGAACTTTTTACTGTGTAACCAGCAGTTAGTTCTTTAAATTAGTATATACTTACTTACAAATCTTAGCTCCTAAATTTTGTTTGTTTTTTTCCTCTATAAAAGAGTTTGATATTGTCCAAAAATATGTCATATATGCTAATATAATGTGCTAATGTCTAGAACAGAAAAAGGAAATAACTGTTTCTAAATTTTATTTTATGATAATATTATCAGTGTCTGCAAGTCGTTTCATATGTTGTTTAATAATATTAATCATAAACTATTTGCTTTGTTGGCATGAAAAATTTCTTATAAATTAAAAAATTGGTGTAATATCTACTCTCATTTATTGATATCCTTAATGTTTACCAATAAGCATTAAAAGGTTATTTACAAATATTTCTTCCTAATGGAAAGTTTTTTAAATTAATTGTCAATAGATAAACATTAAAGAAAAACTAAACCTAAGATTCTTGAGATTACTACATTTGTTGTGGTAACAGAGAAAACAGATATGTAAGAACTTTGAGAATATAATTCTCTCATGATTACCTTCATAGATTTTAGTATACATTCCTAAAAAAACATTTTCTTTATTTTTAATATGTCAAGCATTTTTAATATGTACAGCTATTAAATAAATATACATTCTGACGTTAATATACCAGAATGAAAGATAGAATTCAAAAGATATGTTAGATTTTACATTTCTAAAGTCTTTCCAGATTTGTTTATTGAATATGAAAAGTTTTGATTCATAACTTAAATAAAACTGACTTTGTTAGGGTGAAGTTCATTTGGCCAGAATATAACCTAGCTTTATTATCTTCTTGACCAGTCATGTTGATCAGATTAAAGATAAGCAGGTCACTTACTATTTTCAGCAGAATTTCAGATGTAGGCTGTATCTTAGAATGTCAGAGCTGCTAGTAAAAGAGATTAGATCATTTAGTTCAACCTCTTCTTCATTTTACAAAGATACTGAGATATTGCAGTTTGTCCACAGTCAGGTAGCAAATTAGTGGAAGAACTGAAACTGAGGTCTTAAAATTCACTTAAAACTTATGTGCTGTCTGTCTCTCTCCCGTCCCTCATTGCCACCTGCCCCTGTTCCCCTCTCTTATTTGTTTCTGTTGCCTGAGAAATATTTCCTGCTGCCCTTGAAGGAGAAGGAATAGGCAAGGCAATCAGGATAGTTTAATCTGATCAATTCTTTGCAAAATCACCTTTATGTGAAGTAATGTCCTAGTATATATTTCTTATCCCTTGGCAACTGTCAGGTCTCTCCAGTAATCTACAAGGAGAGGGTTTGTGCTCTTTATCTTTGCTGTAGATCCACAAGGAACTTTTGTTCCCTTCCTTAGAATTTGCATTCTACTCTTCTCCCAACTAAACAATCACTGCTGGGGGTCAAGTGGATATCAAATAGGAAAACAAGTGGTTTTTAACTATGTGCTCTGGCCCTTTTTTTCATACAATGTGGGGGAGGCTCCATAGTCTTCATTCTTGAGATGAGAATGGTTCTCTGCCTTATTTAAGTCCCAAGTCTCTCTAATAATCCTCCTCAGGGAATCTTTAGTTTTTGGTATACACTTACCTCATGGAAAATTATGTCCCTCACTCAAAAGGTGTGTGGACACTCAGAGTCCTTCTGTGTGTCAAGACTTTGGCAAGATACAATTGGAGGCTTTTCTTTGCTTACTCTCTGACTGCTTTGAAAGAGGAAAAGATCGGGCTTTAGATCTAGAAGTGAAGTTCTGATTTCAATTCATTTCTCTTTACAGAAGAGAGACGCACTCCAATCAATTTCTAGCAAAAGACCTAATAGCAAGTAGATATATTATAGTAAATGTTGATTTGTTATCAGTGGTAACACAGTCTAGCTTCACATGAGAAAAGCACAGGTTTATTCTTAAAATCATTTTGGCCCTACTAAAAATAACAACAATAATAAGACAATTACTAATAGTGGAATAATACTGGTATTATTTTATTAAAGACTTTTAAAAATAATTTATAAATTGGCTTAAATTACAAGATTTCTACTCTTCTCTTCAATTAACTAAATATGGGTTTGCCTGAGCCATTCTAGAAGATAGGGATCTACTCAAAATAAGTTTTCTCTGCTGTCCAGATTTCTTCCCTCAAGAGCAGAGGAGGTAGAGGAGTACGTCTATTTTTTGTAATCTCAGCAATTACTTAGAACTAGAGGTTGCTTTCATTCCCAGGTTCATAAGTTATATACTATCAAAAGTTTTTACTTATACCATATGTTGGGTACTTCAGATATAAAGAAAACTAAGATTTGCTTTGTTCCTACCAAAGGTTACTGTCCAATGAGAGCACTCTTTAATTAAAAAGAAATTATCTTTAGCTGTCCACTGGATCTTCCTTTTCCTCAGCTTCAGATATCCTGGTTATTCTTTTGTTGTTATTTAAATGCATTCCCCTAATACTTGGTCCCCTTAAAACTGTTTTTTTCCTCCCTCCCTCCCTCCCTCCTCCTCCTCCTTTCCTCCCTCCCTCCCTCCCTCTCTCCCTCCTCCCCTCCTTCCCTCCCTCCTTCCCTCCTTCCCTCCTTTTCAGGGAGCACTGTTTCTTAGTGCTCACCTAATAAAGTTTATGAATGAGTGGGTTATGTTAGTCTCTTATTACCCACTCATTCTAAACTCATCAGAGTCTTATTTGCCTTCCTGTTGACATAACTCTTGTGAAAATCACCAAACTTCATTTCCTTATTCCTTATCCTATTTGATTTCACTCCTATTTATCCTCACTGACCTTGTCATACTCTATTCTGCCACCTTTTTTTTTTCTAATTGTGCTGAAGATTGAACCTAGGGGCTTGCTCATGCTGGGCAAGCACTCTTATCATTGAGCTATATCTCCAGCTTTTAAATTTTTATTTTGAGACAGGATCTTGCTAAATTTTCCAGCCTGGCCTTGAACTTGATATCCTCCTATTTTAGCTTCCCGAGTAGCTGGGATTACAGGATGTGCCACCAAGTCCAGCTTTTATCTGCTTCTTTAATGACAGTGTATTCTCCTCTTCTTCTCATCCCTATATGCAGGTCATTCTTCCTAGTATTTGTTTTTGGCATGTTTCTGTCTTTTGAAGATCTCATTTCTTCAGCTGTCATTTCTGTTCCTAGAATTCTCAAATGAAAATACTTTGGAAAATATGAAATGTAGGATTGTTTTGTTGTTAAGTCTAACAACAAGATGGTCTAACATCTCTCCCAAAGAAGTTCATATTTCTCAGTGCTCACCTAATAAATCTTTTCTTCTCTTTTCCTCTTATTAGAATTTCTTTCAGAATCTCTTGAATAATTTCCCAAAAGCCACTGACTCAGTCCTCTGTTCCCTCTAAGTCCATTTTATACACTTCTTCTAGACTACTCTCTTTAAAGCACATTTTAGGGAGCTAAAATGTGTTGACTTCCCGTTGTGTATAGAATTAAGTCTTTGTGACTTAACTTGGTATTTGAGGCTTTGATGATTTGGCCTCAGCCTAGTTTTGCAGTTAATTTCCTACCACTTCCTTTATTTTATTACCTATGTATCTCCCTACATTTCAATAATACACTTCTCTGTTAATATACATATCCAAAATAATAATGATGTGTTCTCTTTTGTGCTGACGGTGTATTATTGGTAGTATGTATACTTTGAAGATGTTAGCATTTTTAAGCCATGTTATATATATAGTTGGATTGTATAATGTATATAGTGATAAAGGCAGAACATTAGTCTTTATGTATAGAAATCAACTGTTCAGTAGATAGCCAGAGAGTGATTCCCCCCCCTCCCCGAAGACATTTAAAGATACATAAATAATACATTTAAAGGTACTATAAAGGGGAAAAGATAGGTCAGTACTATGGATATTTCCACGTTATGTCCCTAGACATTTATCTTATTTCTGTCCTGTTAAATACTTTTTTCATTTAACTGACCATTATGTTTAATTTCAGGCTCTTGATGGTTTTTTTTTAGCAATCATGACAGATGGAAGTATAATATATGTGTCTGAGAGTGTAACTTCATTACTTGAGCATTTGCCAGTGAGTATAAAATCCTACAGTCTCTTTCTTATTTCATGTCCATTTTAAATATCCTAAAGCACCCAGAAGTAGACTTGAGAGCAGTGTTGAACAGTGATTAAGGGTGGGGATAAAAACTCTAAGTATGTCTTTTCTTAAATCAGTCATCACTCTAATCTGTGGTAACTGAATATTCAACTGCACTTGAATTTCAGTTGTTCTTCCCTTCTTTATTCTAATGCTAACTTTTTAGTGTTTCCTTTTTAATCAGTCTGATGAAGGTGGTAAAACACTGAGAATATCTTGAGAATAATCAATGTTCTGCTGAGATACTGTTGCAAGTAGGCTAACTCAAATAATTTTCTCAAAGGAATGACTTATAAAAATATACTAAAAATAGTGGGTACAGAACTTTTTGCTATGACTTAAATTGATAATGTAATAATGACCATACTTAGTTCATTGTCAATACTACTGAAGGTATAAAGAATTAGAAAAAAAATGTGTAATTGTGAGAAGGGTAGTGAATACCTAAATTGTGTTTGCTTTTTCATTCAACATGTATTTTTTGTACATCTTTTCTGTGTCAAACACTTGTTAAGTGTTCTGCTGCAGTTGATGGTATTTGAAATGAATTTGCATTTTTTATTTAATAGTTCTTATCTAAACTGGCTCTTGAAGTATACATATTCTAACATTATTAATAAATTACTCTTAAAATGTCTTTCTTTTGATAATTCATAACAATGCAAATAAATTGCCCTGTAAATGTCACTTTTAAGAGATATTGAAAAGCAGTAATTCCCTTTGGTGACTGTGCTGCTTCATACTTCATAAAGAGAATGGATTCTACACTTAAAGCCAGGCATTGAGTGATGTACTGGTATCTTTGGTTCACATAGAAAATGACCAGATTTTTACCGCTTTTCTGTGGGGGCGGGGGGGAACTTTCTTTCCAATAGGCTCAAATAGTAGGTGATGAACCCAACATCTAAAAAATTATCTGAGCAAAGTATGAGATTATAACAGCATGCAAGTAAACTAGAATGGACAGAGAGAAGGGTAGACCAAGCGGATTATCTGGGCAACTATTTTTTTTTTAAATTTGCATAGCAAGAAAACCTAGGGAAAGAATCCCTTTGTATGAATAAGCTGTGATGTAAGTAATTTGAGAATAAGTATAGTAATAAGTATATTTTATATACTTTTAAGCCATGTAGAATTGTATTGGTTTTTCTTTCATTTGTGTAACTATATATTAACTTTTTGTTTAGTCATAATGAGAGCATCATTAGCAAAAGCCTGCTTCTCGATGGTGTCCTTGAACTCCATTCAGAATTTGAGGCCTCTGGTGTCTGTTGTCTTTCACCTTCTACATACTTGAGTAAACTCTCATTTTGTTCACTTGGATTTGTTAGGGTAGTTGTAAGATTCTTAGAAATTCTAGTTGGTTTCTCAGAGAGACATGTGGTGATTATTTACTGAGTAGATGGAAATGAGCAGGCCACTTGATGTGCCTGTTTTTTTAAAAAAAAATTATTTTTAATGGCACGTTGGTGGTGAGTCTTTTGTGAGGGAAAGTTTAATTACATTTTGAAATAAGCAACATGTGACAAATCTAATTGGAGTCAAGTGTTTGATCATTAACATCCCACACTCAATAAAAACCCTCCCAATTTCCTCATGGAATTTTAACTTTTTAGAATCATTTTTAGGTTTACAGAAAAATTCTGACAATGGGAACAGAGAGTTCCCATGTGTCTCACACTCTGGTTCCTTGGTTATTGATATCTTCTGGGTTTTGTTTTTGTTTGTGATATCTAAAGAGTATAGATTGACAGGTGAATTTTTAGGCAAGGGAGATTGTTGCCCATCCAAGGGACCATTTCTTTCCATACTGAATTATAATATACTTTATTAGAAACAGTTTTTTTTTTTAAAACTACTTTCTAGTTACTGTGGCTTTCCCTTGCATCACTGACATTGAATTAAGTTTCTTGATGGTTTGAAAGCATAGACACAGCTTATTTTGAAAAAGCTAATCCTTGTTTAAGATCCAACATAAGAAAAAAATTTGATTTTCTATTTTGCATTGTCATTAATAATTAAACTACAAACTATAAAAAATCGTGCTAAATAAAAGGTCTAAAACAATGATATCCTTTTTTGGTATTTTAATATGCATCCCTATTTTGTCTAAAAGAGAATTTGACTTTTGCCCAGAAGAAGAGAAACACTAGCAAATCCCTAGATTTGGCTTTAGCATTTACAATTCAGTTCTGTTTAAAAATTAAAACTTGCCACTTTAATGAGTGGATGGTAATGACTTAAAATTTTTCAGTTTCAATTTAAATCTGATTTAAAATGATAAGATTGACTTAAAATTATAAGAGTCTATATATGGGTCCTACCAAAACCAATTTTCTTTATCTCATACTTGAAAAAATCAGTAATTTTATAATTTATTTGGGTGCACTTTAACCTATTTATGACTGATAATCAGGTATAAATGTTTTTATTCACTTTAAGATTAGAAACAAAATTTAAGAAATATTTTTTCCTTTCCTTTCTGTTAACAAAATCATAGAGTCATATAGTTCAGTGCCAGAGGGATTAGAGATCATTAATGGTCCCTTTACATTATCGGCAAAAAATATGAAGCCCAGAAAAACTGGACTTAATTGTACAGCAATCGAATGGAAGTGCCAGAAATGACAGGTCTTGTTTCTTAGTCTAACAAATATTTAAAATTTATAAAATTATTGCTTAGATGTGTTCCTGAGAAAGAATTTATTAGATTTTTAGCCAGGTAACATAGGGAAGGTGATTATCCATGTTGTAATCTCATAGAGTCCAGGACTAAAAATTACACTATTCAGAAACCGATGACCCTCTCATTAGCTACTTTCCATAACTCAATAGTTTATTTTTCAAAATTTTTATTTCTTGTAATAATTGCAGATTTAACCCAAGCATGCTTTACCACTGAACTATATTCCTAGACCTTTTTTATTTTTTATTGTAATTCAGGGTATTAGTAAGTTGCTGAGTCTGGACTCCAATTTGTGACTTTCCTGATTCTGTCTCTGGAGTTGCTGGGATTACCATGTGCCATGTGCCCAGCCATAACCCAGTAGTTTAAGAACAGACACAAGTGTGTTTTAGGAAAGTTAATACAGTCTTTGGTATAAGATACAATATGCAGAAATATAATTTTGAAATTTTTGAATAATTATGTGATGGTAACAAAGGTCAATTTGAGAGGGTCAGAATTTCTGACCTTTATGTCTGTAAGTAAGAAATATAAAAGTTTAAAAATTGGTTATATCTAAAATATCTTTGACATTTTTTCAAAGGAGCTTTCCATCCCTCCTAAGCAGCTGTTGTATATAGGGATCAATTAACTGTCTCTTGTCTACCAAAGGGAAAAGATAATTGGCCGTAGTTTTAATTTCCACTAGATGGTAACCTTGATCTAACGTAGAAACATGTCATATAACTAAATCAGCAATACATTTATTATTTATTAAAATGGTTTAGGAATATAAAAAGATTCAGATAGCTACCATTTTTTTCTTCCCTTGGAATGGTGTTTGGGAACCCAGTGGATTTCATGACAACATCAAGTATGATTAACCTCATCAAGAAACTTGAGTTATAGCAGTTAATGGAAAATTTGACACTCTTCATAATCTGGCAGAAGAAGTAAAGTGGAAGAGAAGCAGTACTTGCGACCCTACTCTAAATTCTAGCCATTCATAATTATTTCTCTGTGAATAGGACACATCCTATGAAGTTATAGATAGAAAAACAAGAGTAAAATAGACTGAATTACAATTTATTGAAATAAAGAAGAAATAATAAGAATAAACAGTAGTAGAAAACAATAATCATTCTCAAGATGAAATTTTTATTTTAAATGGTATATCTTATTTTTCTATCAAGACTTTTTAAAATTTGTATCAGTAACTATCTTTGATATATTATTGTCAATACAAGATATTTTTCTAGCATTTTTATTATACAAGCCTGTATTTTTAATTCATTCCTTCAGTTCTAGGACTTTTCAAACTTCTAGAATAATTCCTTATTAAGATATAGATAACAGTTTTGGTGTGGTTACCCCTTAGACCATTATTAAATAGCTTGTTAGCCCCAAATGACTTACTTATTATGCTAATAGTTGTTAAATGCAAGGGGCAGGGTTTAGGTTTCCTTGATTGGATGGGAGAAAGAGGAAGGTATAAGAGATGGGGCCCTTTCATCCTTCATGGGGCAACAGGACATAAACATTGAAACAACAAATATTTTTAATGGGAAATGAATAATTCACATCATTAATTAATGGTAAGTATGAAATACTATGCAATAAGTACTAAAAAAATTATTGTGGATTTTGGTGTTAAGGGAAAGCTTTTTTAAAGGAAATAATTTGAAAATTTTTCAAAGAATGGAGGGTACTGATATATGGAGGTAGGGGAAGGCTGTTTCACTTCGTGGGGTGAACTTTGAGGGCTAGAGGAAAAACAGAACGAATATGGATGTATGGCTTATGTGAGGAGTAGTCAAGCACTCCTCTCTAGCCTATCATCTCCAGTGTCTCTCTTACTCTTTTTTGTTGTTTTATTGATTTTATTTTTAAGCAACAGAGCTGTTCAGAGAAAATCTTAAAAGATGTATAAATAGAAACAAAATGAATGCATAACTACTTTGGTTGAAAACAGACCTACCTTCCTATTTTTTTACTTCCTAATCTCTTCATCCCTGCCTCTACAGTCCTTGAGATACCCACTCAGTATTCCTAGGATAGTACAGGGCAATTGAAAATGTAGAGAAATCAAATAGAATGGACTGTATTCAGTAAAAAAATGTGAAAGTCACTGGAGTTTGGTTGTCATTAGTACTTCATGATAGAATTATCCTATTCATATTATCATATTCATCTTTAATTCCACAGCCATCACATACTGTAGGCACCCTGAAGCTTCTCAAATTATTGTTGATTAATGAATCATAATTAAAGCCATATATCAGCAAGAATGCTCTGTTTGAGCAAGAACTTTTTAACAATGAAATATCGAATAGATGCCTGGAAAAGATAGAATAAAAACAAAAGGGCACATTGGACAACTGAAATGACAACTAAGTCAGATCTCCTTTTTGTTTAACCAGACACTGGTCCTTTGTAGTTATGTCTACTACCATCATTTAGCATAGGTTTGAATAAATGGTAAGGCTATCTTGTAGCTAGAGATTTCTGATTAACTTTCTTAGTCCTATTGTATTTTAAAAAACTTAGCAAAACTCAGCTTTGCAAATAATACACCAGGCTTTTAGGTCATATTGGTCATAGATTTGATGATACTAATATCGGAGGATGAGGGTAATATTAACCTTCTTCCAGTTTTTCAATCTTGTTTTTAAAGATGTATTCTGTTACTTGACATTTGTTGGTTTTCTTAGATAATTGAAAGTTAATCATTCATACTCTTGTTTGATAGTGATTTTACATTTTCAAAATAAATGCTTCTTGAATCATTAAACTATTTTATTTTTTAAAATTTATTTTTCAGTCTGATCTTGTGGATCAAAGTATATTTAATTTTATCCCAGAGGGGGAACATTCAGAGTTTTATAAAATACTCTCTACCCATCTGCTGGAAAGTGATTCATTAACTCCTGAATACTTAAAATGTAAGTAGTGACTGTGAAGAACAAACTCAAATATTATATTTGATAGCCTTATCCTTTACTTTTTTAAGTTTGTGAAAAATAGACATATTTAATAATTTAAAATGCAGCCAGTCATGATAGTGCACTCTTCTAATCTCAGCGGCTTGGGATGCTGAAACAGGAGGATCGCAGGTACAAAGCCAGCCTTAACAACAGCGAGGCGCTAAGCAACTCAGTGAGACTCTGTCTAAATCAAATACAAAATAGGGTTGGGGATGAGGCTCAGTGGTTGAGTGTCCCTGAGTTCAATCCCCAGTACTCCTGCACATACACAAAAAATGTAAAATACAGCATTGTTCCCTATACCCTATTGTGTGCTTTTTAAATATTAAAAATGTATGTATATGTGTATACATGTATCTATATATAATGGAATTGTGTTCATATTTTAAATCTGAAATCTGTTCCAAAGTATACTGAAATTTCATCTTGTTTTGTTATAATAAATCTGACCACAGCTAAGCCATGATATTGTTTTATACAGAAATGGAAACCTGGCAATCAATATCTTTTTAATATTTGAATAAAATCATGTTGTATTTATTGATATAGATAATTAAACCTTCTTGTTTTGTTCATTGTGGACTAAGTGGGCACTCAAACTATGCAGGAAAAAATTGCAAATCTTTTAAGATTATTAAATTAAAAAGAAAAATTATTTACTTTTTAAATTAAACTGATTTAAGTAACCTTTTATTGGATGTGTGTAATGTGCTAGGCACTTATGCTTTATTATAAAAAGAACCAAAATAGTGAAAAACATTTCTTACCATCAAAAAACACAAAATATTATGGTATAATTGAACATTTCTACTAGATTTGTTAGGCAAATAGTACACAACATTTTCTTCATTGTTACTCAGTATGAACTTCAGAATCGTTACATCACTGTATTTGGCCATTAGTTATTAGACATCTTCTTTAATAATTTTTTTCATGTTTTTTAAATGTTTCCTTATTTGGAAATAGTGACATCAATCATCTTAAAGCTTCTTTGTATCTAAATCCTAAAATTCTATAATCTATTAATGACTGTCCAAAAATTAAGATATACAGGTGTTTATCTTTTGTTAAGAATGGCTAGCTTTTCAGGGAGAGAATTCATTTGAAGCCTAGCTGTAATTTTTTATAATCAAGTTTGTATGACATTGACCTAGGTCATTATAATCTTAATATTTAGGAGAAAGATTTGACTGGATCTAATAGATACAAAAGCCAATAATGTGCCTATAAGTAGTATTTGAGGTAATGAAATGAACAATATTGCTTGAGGTAAATATATAGAGTAAGGAGAGAAGAATTAGAAAGGGACCCTGGGAGAGAGAAACAGGAGGACAAAGAAGAAGGAATTGACTTTAGAGACCCTCACAAGGACAGAATTGGCCATAGAAGTGAATCAAAATATCGGGCATAAAGTAGAGACCATAGACTTCTGTTTCTAAGATCAGAGATGAGAACAGCAATACTACTTTTCAGTAGATAAATCAATTAAGTGCCTTAAGCATTGGATACACAAAAGAAGTTCTTCCCCAGAAAAAAAAGTGTTTGATGTGAGTTAAAACTTAGGGGACATTGCTTAGAAAGTTTAGTAGGTCATTTTGGTTGTGATGAAGGTGGTACATTTGATGTAATTTATGTCTAGAAAGGGAAATAAGGGCAGAATTATAAAGAGCCTAATATTTCATCCTATAGAGTTTTTATGTTTTACATTGTGGAGAGTGAGTGAAGGAGATTTGGGTGGTTTTATAATCAGAAGGGTGAAAGGGGAGTCACTTGAGTAGAAAATTTTGAGAAGGACTGCACTCAGGACAAAAAGGGAAAATTGATATTATTGTTGTAATCAAAGTAAGGATGAAGAGGAAAGTATATGAATGTTATGTAGGGAAACTCGGTAGGCTCTATGTTAGGTACTGGTGACCAAGCTGGGGAGGGTTTTGGGAAGACGATGATACTTAGATTTTGAACCTGTTGAGTTAGATGATAAAACCATTTATTTTGATAATAAAAGAGCATGAGCTTGATGTGGTGAGTGAAGGAAAGTGTTACTAATCCTTGAGTGTTGAAGCAATGCTATAAAAATAGTATTAGTCTAAGTCTTACCAGTGATCCGCTCTGACAAGATGAGCTGGGTTCCAAAGAGCTGGCTGCAACATGAAGCTAAGAAAATGGTGAAAAGTCACACAATACAGAAGTAGTTTTCATGTCGAGGGTAGGATGGCTCTGCGACCTTAAGGGTCAGCTTCCACACTGGAAGGTGCTGAAAAGACAGCGTGCACCCAGAATCTATTTTTATAGGGGGGGACACACAAAGGAGATTCCAGATAATGTTCTTCACCAAATAAGGTGTGGATTAAGGTTTTAAAGGTAGAGTCTTGCTTCGTGGTGTTTTGTGGTCAGCAGATTGATTGACATCTTGGCAAGTCACTGGTGCTGTATGGGATCACAGGCAGAGCGAGAGAAGCGGTGCACTTGCGTCGCACAGCCCAATCAGTGTGCTAGACCTGTCCCCTCATATAGCTCCAATGAGCATAGCTCACACACACAGCCCATGGATGGCTTGCAACAGTCTAAGTGTAGTAGGAAGGGATGAATCAGAGGCAAGAGAGTGGAGGCACAATGAATAAATGTTTCAGCTATCTAGGTGCGAGGCAATTTGTGACTGCACTGAGTTGATGGTCCTAAGTGTTAAGTGGAAAAATGATTTATGAGAGTTTCCTTGGTGAAATAAATATCAGGGCCTGGTGACAAATTAGCTTTGGGATTTGTAATAGGTAGAGAAGAGAGCAAATTGATACGTAGAGGAAGTAGGGATATGGTTTCTAACTTTGAAATAAGTATACATATGGCAAAGAGGACAGCTAACTTAGGAAGAAACAGGAAAAATTCACTTTCAAATACTTCGAGTTTAAATTACTGATGGGACATTGAGTGGAAATATCCTAAAAGCAAATAATGATATGAGAATTTGTGTTACATAAAATGTTAGTGTTGGGGAAAGATATGGAGTGGTAAATAAGATTTCCAAGACCAGTCAGTTTATAGCAGATCTAAAAAGATGAAGATCAAAAGAACCTTTGTGAAGTTTGCTAGTTTTTGAAGATAGTTTAGCAGAAAACAGAGGAATAGTCAATAGGTAAGAAGGCAAGTTCATGTTAGGAATGAGGAAGTGTGAAATGAGGAAAAACTATTGAAGTTGACAGTACAAATGTTGATAGGCTTTAGAAGAGTAGAGGTGCAAGGATGCAAGCCATAGTGCATGAGGTAAAGGGAAGTGAATACATGAAAACAGGAACACTTACTGAAAAGAAAGGAGATCTCTGACACTAAAAAATGGAAAAAAAAAAAAAAAACTCTTTGAAATGGAAGGCCTGATCAAATTTAAAACTGTAGAAATTAAGGACCTAAAGAAGAAAATTCATGGCCATTAGTTATTAGATATATTCTGTAATCATCTTTTCATGATTTTTAAATGTTGCCTTATTTGGTAATAGTGACATCAGTCATCTTAGAGCTTCTTTGTATTTGAATTGTTAAATTCTATAATGTATTAGCAACTGTCCAAAAAAAAAGTGATGTAGACCTGGTCTTTAGAAGATAGGAACAGCAGCTATTCAAAGTAGAAGCATTAGCTTTAGACTGGGAAGCAAACCCTTTCTTTGAAATTAGAGTGAAAAATGAGAAAGGACAGGTAAAAATAGAGAACAGTAAGTTGTTTGTACAAGGTGAAATAGCTCTTGAAGGTACTTTACTTTTATGGACTAAATAATCTGTCATTGAAGACGTCTGCTGAAGAAAATATGAACTTATTCAACAATAAAAAAAACTTTTGTAATCTTATTTCATGTGATATATGACAGATATTGACTTTTTAATCATTTATTTCAGCAAAAAATCAATTAGAGTTCTGTTGTCATATGCTTCGAGGAACAATAGATCCAAAGGAGCCATCTACCTATGAGTATGTGAGATTTATAGGAAATTTCAAATCTTTAAACAGTGGTGAGTTAAATGCTTCTCTTAGAATGTATTTTAAAACTTCATATTTTTCTAAGTAACAGCCAGATTTTACTGGAATAACTGATGATACATATTTCCTTACTGTTTTAGTATCTACTGCTGCACATAATGGTTTTGAAGGAACTATACAACGCACACATAGACCTTCTTATGAAGATAGAGTTTGTTTTGTAGCTACTGTCAGGTTAGCTACACCTCAGTTTATCAAGGTATGTTTCTAATTTAAGTGCTTAAGAGGTTTTCAGTTTTTATATAATTTTTAATATAATTTTATATAATTTTTGTCTCTAGAATGACTGAATTTTCCTGCAAGCATTGAAGTAGTAGTGGCTATTAAATATGTATGATTATGATTATGATTCTGATATTTCAGAAACAATGAGTTATGAAAACACTAATTTTTTAGCATATATTGCAGTTAGCCAATGATTATGTGTCACCATTTGCCCTGCTTTTGTGCCAGATTTAGGATACTTGGTATATAATTCACCTTCTTCACTAAAGGAGAAAGTCCAAAAAAATCTAGGTAATTTTTGAAAGATTGTTTTTGAAATTTTCTTTTGAAATGTGTAAGTGGCTTTTACTGCATATAATTTACCTTTTACATTTTCAAATTTAAGTAATTTATTTTTATTTCCTGGGCCCAACAAGCAGACAAATAAGGAAATGGGTTAGTTCAACCACTTAGAAGTGGCGGAATGAAGAAACCAGGACAAGATTTGCGAGACACATGATTTAGGACACTAGTACTGAGTTAGCAGTTAGAAGATCCAAAATCAGTCTTGTTCTGCTTGTTTTGATCTTAGGAAGTAATAACAGTAGCTAGTGTTTGAGCACTTATTGCATGCTATACTTTTTTATATGCATTATCATGTAATTCTTATAACAGCCCTGAGATACATGCTGTTATAGTCCCTATTTTGTATATAAGGAAACTGAGGCTTAGAGAAGTTAAGTTTCTTCCCCAAAGTCTCTATTAAATGTCAGAACTGGAGTCTTGATTCTTTTTCTTTCAGAGCCCAGCTCCTTGATATATTAACATTGTGCTGCAGGAGGTTATTTAAGGGTACAGAGGAAGTTTATAATATATTAGCTAGTGTGACCAGAGTCTAGGGTTCATATATTGGAGAAAATAGGAAAGTAGGAAGTATGGCTAGAAAAGTAAGCAAAAGCAAGAAATGAAACTTATTTCTGTTTTTTCTCCATGCTGAAGAAATTTCAGTATGAGGACCCACAGAAGATTTTTAAGCAAGAAAGTTACCTAAGCATATTTGAGTATTAGTAGAGTAATTGTGACCCCAGAATAGAAGACAAATTGAAGGACAGAGAGGCTGTTTAGTTAGATGTTAGCATAGTAAGATGTCACTGATGGTGATGATCTAAACTAAGCCATAGAAAATGGATGGGATATAGATTTTTTTTTAAAAGAATGTTAAAAGGTGAAATTGAGAAGATTAGTAGTGGCCACCTGGATGCTAAAAGGAAAAAATGAAAGAGTATGTTAGGAATATCAGATTTCTAGACTTTGGCACTGCACAGGTAGGTGTCCATCAATTAGTTGGAAAATTGTACAACTGTACAATTAATTCATTTTAGGGCATACTGTTTGAGGTGTATGGGGCTATCTGAAGAGTAATATAGAACAGTAACTCAGGAGAGAAGTCTGAAGCAATAACTCTACAGTCTGCATTTTAGTATCATTTATTGCTCCATTTAAAGTTGTTATCAAAGCAGGGTGTGGTAATATACTCCTATAATTCCAGTGATTTGGAAGGCTGAGGCAGGAGGATTGCAAGTTTGAGGCTAGCTTCAGCAACTTAGCAAAGCCCTAAACAATTTAGTATGAGACCCTGTCTCAAAATAAAAAATAAAAAGGGCTGGGGATATGGCTCAGTGGTAAAGCACCTCTGGGTTCAAACTCTTACCAAAAGAAAAAATATATATTTTTTAATTAATTTTTTTTCAAAGGTGTTCAAATGCTGGCCTTCCTAGGCTAGCACTTGACCACTGAGCTGTATCTCTAGCTTATCACATTTTAGTACTAAAAAATTAAATTTTTTAAAAATTTATTTAGGGAAAAGTCATCTAACAAGGATTCTTCTAAGAACACAGGGAAGTATTTCTGAATTTTAATTATCGATTTATTTATAGGAAATGTGTACTGTTGAAGAACCCAATGAAGAGTTTACATCTAGACATAGTTTAGAATGGAAGTTTCTATTTCTTGATCACAGGTAATTAACTTCATTTTTAAACTTTATAAAAAAGGTAATAGTTATGTTACATTATTCTTGACTAATGGATTTTAAGGACAAACTTTTTTTCTAATCAGGATTTTCAAATCCATTTTCCATTTTTAAAAAAATAGCTCCCCAAATTAATATCTGGTTAAAATGTTTCTTGTGGGGTACTTATAATGTTATTGTTTTTCAACTTAGGGCACCACCAATAATAGGATATTTGCCATTTGAAGTTTTGGGAACATCAGGCTATGATTACTATCATGTGGATGACCTAGAAAATCTGGCAAAATGTCACGAACACTGTAAGTAAATTTTAATATTTCTGGTAAGGTTAACTTTTTAAAATCATATAAAGAGAAATCTTGTCCCATTAATGAAAGGTAGTAAAATGTAGATTTGCTGTAATTTTTTGTAAGTATATAAAATAGAAACAAGTTTAGTTTAAATTTGATCTGATTCCTACTTGATTGATTATCCATATAAAGCTGAATCTACCAGTATATTTTAAAAATACGAAGTTTCTCAAATTAACCACAAAAAACACACACACTTTGCTTACCATCTGTTAAAGACTTCAGAACTCAAAACCTACAGAGCATGTGTTGGGAATAACAATTACTTCAAACAGTGATGTTATTTTGCTTTTGGTTAGTTAAGGGTTACAAAATAAATGCCTCAGAGATACTGTACTTGAGAGTGTCTATGGGAAAAAGAAGGTCTGATGTGATTACTTCCTGTTGCTACCCTTAGTAAATATAGAAGGAAATCAGCAGTTGAATCCTTGAATATTTGGAACTTTTATTGTATATGAAAAGTATATAAGATCAGCAGTGACTGGCTTCAAAGTTTGACACTATAGAAGATGTGAAAATTACTTGAGAACTTAAACCAGCCCTAAAGAATTGCATTTTCCTATCATTGGTGTATATATTTTTTGAAAAACCAAGAGAAGAACTATATGTAGAATGAACTATATGTAGAAGAACTATATGTATCATTTAAATGTAAATGATAGTTTTTGATTAAAAAAACAGATTCTTCATAACTAAGTATGAATCAAAATATTTTTTATTTTCTTTTCAGTAATGCAATATGGGAAAGGCAAATCGTGTTATTATAGGTTCCTGACCAAAGGGCAACAGTGGATTTGGCTTCAAACTCATTATTATATCACTTATCATCAGTGGAATTCAAGGCCAGAGTTTATTGTTTGTACTCACACTGTAGTAAGGTAATAATTCTTTCAAAGAACTTTTGAATTATGATAACATTCTTTAACAATTTTGGCAATGTAATTTTTATGCCTGACATAGTATATAAGTTTCTAAATCACAGGTAACTTAACCTTAATGTTTTAATGTGTCAAACTACAAAGTAATCTTTTTTTTAATATATTATTAAATTTTCTTACATGCATTTTAGGAATGTCGTATAAGTAGTAGATATATAATGCTTGACATAAGTTCTGTGCTTTACCGCAGAATTCATACTATCACTTATGTACCAAAGTCAGTTATGCAACAGGAAAACTGGAAAGAGCATACTCTTTCATTTTTTAATTCCTCTTAATATACATACTGTGTTGTCAGAGATCATTTATAGTAGCATATAAAATTTTCATATACCTAGAAAAATGCAAATTGAATTAAGAGTACCCTGTAGATGTGTTTTAGGTTTGTGTAGTACATAGAAAAGAGTCTAGAATTAGTGAAAAATTTAAGTGAAGCACATAACAAATATTGAATGGTTGCAACTCTGCAATATCTTAATGAATGAACAAACACTAAAATTTGATTTTTTCAATTTATAGTTATGCAGAAGTTAGGGCTGAAAGACGACGAGAACTTGGCATTGAAGAGTCTCTTCCTGAGACAGCTGCTGACAAAGTATGTTTCTTATAGTCTTTTAAAAATATAATTACCTAATTTCTTGCCATTGAAACTCAAACTCAATCAGTAGGAAAATTGCTTCTCAAATACATCCTTTTCTCAAGTATGACAGTATTATTATACTTTACTGTTTACTTTCATTTTTCATTTAATATTTTAAAATTTCATTTACTTCTAAAAAAATTGAAGATCTTACCATTTAGCAATAATAAGGATAGACATCTAATCTCAGATTAAAACTACTATTATTAGTTACCTTTGATGTGCTAGACTTTAGCTTGATTCTTCATATGAATTATGGTGTGTGATTTACTACTTGGATCCTTAATCTCATAAGTAATATCTCCATTATGAAACCACTGAAACTCAGATTTAAAGGAGAGGGTTGAACCTGCCCTTCATGAAACATGACTGAGAAATTATAGTCAGAAATTGAACTTTGGTTTCTTTCTTTTGCTCATGTTGAAGTATAGTATATGACTTCTCTGTTGCTATGTAATGGTTTCTCCAGAATTAGTGATATAAAACAATACACATTTACTATCTCTTAGATCATGTGCATCAGGAATCCAGGCACAGTTTAGCTGGGGCTTCCACTTGAGGATCCATCAGAAGTCTAAAGTCCTCTCAAAGTTCCACTCAGGCACTGTTCATTTCCACCTCACTCAGTGGTTGTTGGCCCAATTGTTCCTCATGGGCAGTTGGACTAAGGGCTTTAGTTCCTTGATGGCCAGAGGCCACCTTCATTTCCTTTCCAGGTGACCCTTTCCATCTGAGCAAGCATGCAAGAAAGTACAGGAAGAGAAAGTACCAGGCAATTGTACTTAAAAAGTTTTTGCTTTTTAAGATGAGAGAAATAATAGCATGTTTGTATACTAAGAGAATGATCTGGTAGAGCAAGAAAAGTTGAACAGTGTTTTGATTAGGTAAGAGAAGGTGGGATCTAGAACACAAGTGGAAAGATAAGGTTTAGCTAGGGGGACAGATTATTTGACCATAACAAGAGTTGGCAGCCTGAGGCCTGAGGCCAAATCTGGCTCTCTGAATGTAATGCCCACAAACTACAAATATTTTTACATGTTTAAGTGGTTGAAAGAAAATCAAAAGAATAATAATGCTTTATGACACATGAAAAGTAAATCAGATTCATATTCTAGTGTTCATAAATAACGTAACCACATACATTCATACATTCATTTATAAAGTGTCTGTAGCTCTATTTGTACTGCAATAGCAGAACTAAATAGTTGTGACATATTCTATGGCCCACAGAACCTAAGAGATTGACTTTCTGAAAGAACCAGTAAATGTTACAGAAAGAATTGATTGATCCCTGATTTATAGCAACATGAAGAAGGATAAATACGTGACTATCACATTTTCACAGTTACACTCTCACTTTATGTCTTCTGACTATATCCAGCTTAAATTTATGGTTAATTATTGTAACCATGCATGTATCTTCAGCTCCCTAGCACCTGTCACCCTTTATCACAAATCCTTGGCAAAATCTCAGTGTTGGTTAAACCCAGCTGTTAAATGGATAGGTATAGTAGTGAGAGCTTATAGCAGTACTCTCAGTAAATAGGTACCAAGAGTTATCAGCCAAGAGTCAAGTAAGGACAGGAGTTTTTGGAGGTTTGAGAAGAGACGTGAAAGTGTTAAATGGTTGTGTAGGTGAATAGAAAAGTGACTATTCTAGGAAATTATAGTCTGCTTGGCAGGCAGAATAAAAGCCACTTGCAGTTCTTGGTCATTTATTTGATATGAAAAAATAATCATATTGTGTTTCTTCTGCCATGTTCAGCTCTGTAGGAGCAGATATGGGAAAAATAAAAATAAAAAAATGGGTTTAACCAACACTGAGAATTTTGCCAAGCAAGTGTGATTAAGGGAAATAGGAACTAAGAAATTAAAGATACATACATGGTTATAAACAATTAGCCATGAATTTAAGCTGGATAAAGAGAGAAGACACAAAAAGAGAGAATGTGATTGTGAAAATATGGTTGAATACATATATTGTGGGTTCCATTTAAGCCTAAGGATTTTTGGAATTGAGATACTAAAAGGAATGAGTAGGAAATATGGGAATTGTGGTCAGAGAAAAAGATGATTGAAACTGAGATTATGGGAAGGTTTATTCTTATTGAAAATGACTCTAGGATATGACTGTAAGAATCAGTGGATGAGGACTGGTGGAAGAGGAGATCTTTGGAGGAGAGTACAATAAGGAAGAGAGAGGTTGTAGTATTGAATGTTTCTGTGAATAACCTTGGGATTAATAGTTAATGAGGGGAATACTGAGCCAGATTCTAAAATTTAATTGTTGTGAAGTGACCATGGGGTCTGTACATAACTGTAAGAGACAGTGAGTTATAGCATATGATTTAATGTTAGTTTCAGAGTTGTGAGTTTGGGGAAAGAAGAAAGGGGAAGTGGTCTGGAACCATCAGTAGAAGGACTTTTGTAGAGCTGTGGTCTGAGAGTTGTGAGAGATAGAATAGACACTGCTGAAGAAAACTACAAGGAAAGTAGTGTCCTCTGGGGCAGTATGGGTTTTAGTTAGAGCAAGCCTGTGAAGGAATGTTCAGAGCTGAGGTTGAGAATACAGAGCATTTTTAAAATTGTAGACACTTGGGGCTGGGGATGTGGCTCAAGCGGTAGCGCGCTCGCCTGGCATGCATGCAGCCCGGGTTCGATCCTCAGCACCACATACAAACAAAGATATTATGTCCGCCGAAAACTAAAAAAAATAAATAAATATTAAAATTCTCTCTCTCTCTCTCTCTCTAAAAAAAACAATTGTAGACACTTAATGCAAGCGGGAGGTTTAGAAGGCTAGGAAGCAGTGGAAGTAGGAGACAAATAGAATGAAGGACTGAATGAATAGTAGTTAGGGTAGAGGAAACAAGGCATAGGGTGATATCACTCCTGTTTTTTTCCCCTAAACACAAGTAACTTTGAGATCATACTATTTGTGTATGTGTGCATGGGTTTATACAGATTTGTATATATGTGTATATATATATATATTGTGCCCCCTTTTAAGTAGCTCTCCTGCAGTAAGAATAGGTATTTACTTCTTTTTTACTGCTGCATATGAGAGCAAAGATAGGACACTTTGCTCTATTATAATTTGGAGGAAAAGAAGATAGGTGTACTGTATATACATCCTATATTAGCAGATAAGTTTATATTTTTGATGGTGGCAAGATTAATGTTCTCATCTGTATAAGGCAGGGCTGGTATAGGGAGACAGATTTAAGAGCAGTGAATACAACAGACGCTAGTATGTAAAAATGTGGATGTGTAACTGATGTGATTCTGCAATCTGTATACAGGGGAAAAATGGGAGTTCATAACCCACTTGAATCAAATGTATGTAATATGATATGTCAAGAGCTATGTAATGTTTTGAACAACTAATTAAAAAAAAAAGGAAAGGCATGGAATAATTGTGAAGGGTAGGAAAGTGAGCTCAACGTAAACAATGCTACTACCTAGTATTGGGTATCCATCTGAAGTTCATGATCCTTTAGTCAGACTGCACTTGTTCCTAGAGAAACCTTTGAGGAATTGAACTAGAAGAATAAAAGAGTATGGCTTAAAGTGGTATTTTAATTTGTTTTCTTAGAGGTGCTACAGTGTTGATGTCCAGGCAGAGACCGAGGGATGGAAGTAGGGGAAGGGAAAAAATTTACTAGAGATGAGTACAAAGCTAAGAAGTAAGATAAGAGAGGTTATTGGATGATTCTTCCTTATGGATATGGAAATTTTGGAGAAAGATCAGAATTGGAGTAAAGATTTTGAGCCATCAAATGCTGAGTTCCAAAGGTCATTACAGTATTTTGAATATAAAGTAAAATGTTATCACTGTCTTTTTTTTTTCTTTCTTAATGTGATAAGAAACAACATAAAATTGCCATTGAAAGGGTACAGTTTGGTGTAGTTACATATATTCCCACTGTTACACAGTTATCACTACCATCCATGCCCAAAACTTCTTTATCTTTCCAAACTCCGAACCCATTAAACAACTTCTCATTCTCCTGTCAGCCAACATTTTACTTAGTATTTTTTTTAGCTTGACTTCTCTAATTACTGCATATGAGTAGAATCATATAATATTTGCCCTCTTGTCCTGGCTTTTTTCATTTGCCATAATGTTGTCTGAGTTGATTATGTTGTAGCATGTGTCAGAATTCCCTTTCCTTTTAAAGCTGGGTAATATTTCATTGTATGTACATACCTTATTTTGCTTATAGGTTGCTGTTACCTTTTGGTCATTGTCATTAATGTTACTGTGAGCATACATGTACAAATAACTGTTTGAGTTCTTTCATCTCTTTTGGAGAATTGCTGGGTCATACAATAATTCTTTTTTTTCAATTTTGAGGAAGTGCCACACTGTTTTCCCTAGTGACTATGCCATCAAGGCACAGGAATTTAGATTTTTTACATTCTTGCTAACACTGGGTATTTTCTTTCTTTCTCTCTTTCTTTCTTTCTTTTTTTTTATAGTGACCATTTTAATGGGTGTAAAGTGATATCTCATTGTGGTTTTAATGATATATGGTAAGGTGTAGTCCAACTTCTGTCTTTTTGCTGTTTCCTTGAATAGAGAATGAAGCCAAAATTTTCATGCTTTACAAAATAAGTTCTCAAGCCAGGTATGGTGGCACACACCTGTAATGCCAGCTACTAGGGAGGATGAGGAAGAAGAACACAAGTTCTAGGACCCTAAAGTAGAACCTTAAAATAAAAAATAAATAAATAATAAATAATAAGTAAACAAAATGTTCTAGGACCTTAAAATAGAAAAATAAATAGTTCAGTGGTAAAGGGCCCCTGGGTTTAATCTCCAGTTGCCCCCACTAAATAATAATAATAATAATAATTGTTATTATTATTATTATTATTATTTGGGGGGGGGGGGTACTGGTGATTAAACTCAGGGGCCTTTTACCATTGAGCTATATCCCCATCCCTTTTTATTTTTTATTTTTAGACAGATTCTCACTTAAGTTGCTTAGGGCCTCCTAAATTGCTGAGACTGGCCTTGAACTTGCAATCTTCCTACCTTTAGTCTCCTGAGTCGAAAATTTATCATTTCTTTACCTACTATATATTACATAGGTAGTTTTGTCTTACAGGTAAAAAAATGAATTTTTTATTTTTATTTTTTTGTTAGTAAGCAGTATTTCTAATTTGAGATTTCTAAACTGAACCTCAAGAAAACATTTCTTTGTTTCCTTAGAGCCAAGATTCTGGGTCTGATAATCGCATAAACACAGTCAGTCTCAAGGAAGCATTGGAAAGATTTGATCACAGTCCAACCCCTTCTGCCTCCTCCCGGAGTTCAAGAAAATCATCTCATACAGCAGTCTCAGACCCTTCCTGTGAGTACCTTAACTTAAACTTCCATTAAAGGGAGTACTACTAAACTGTTTGTGTTAAAGGTTATTTGTCAAATGCTTCTCTAAAATTATAATTTATTTTCATAATTTTGAGGTATATTAACCTTTCCAGTGAGTAAGAGGTGCAGTGCTCACTGTTAGCAAAGAATTAAGATCATCAAGTGGGCCTGTAAAACATGTAGGTTATAATGTTGTTATTGTTAAATTTTTAATCATCCCTCAAAAATAAAACAAAACTATTCCTACTGTAAAAGCCAGCAAATGTTCTTTAAATTTGTTTTTTAAAAAAATTTTGCAGTGTTTTTCTTTATGAAGATATGCTTAATTGTCCTTATGTTACAGTTGGCCCTCCATATCAATAGTTCTGTGCTGTAGATTCAACTAAGTGCACATAGAAAATGGTTCAAAAAAAATTGTATCTGTATTGAATATGTACAGACTTCTTTTTATTTTCCTTATTCCTAAATAATAGAATATATCAAGTATTTACATAGTATTTGTATTGTATTAGGTATTATAAGTAATCTAGAGAAGATTTAAAGAACTTACAAGGATGTGCATAGGTTATGTGCAAATACTACACCATTTTGTGTCAGGAACTTTTGAGCTTCACAGATGTTTATCCACAGGGAGTCCTGGAATCAGTCCCTTTTCAGGGAATGACTAGTAACTATTTTTAGATTGAAATTTTTTCAATTTCATGGTTTTTTTTTTTTTTTTTTTTATCTTTAAAGAAGATAGAAGCAGAGGATAGGAAAGGCAGCAGAATACAACAGACACTAGTATGGCAACATGTAAATCAGTGGATGTGTAACTGATATGATTCTGCAATCTGTATACGGGGTAAAAATGGGAGTTCATAACCCACTTGAATCAAAGTGTGAAATATGATATGTCAAGAACTATGTAATGTTTTGAACAACCAACAATAAAAAATTAAAAAAGAAAAAAGAAGATAGAAGCAATTTAAATGAATGGACTTTACTTTTATTGATTTAGAAAACCAAGTAAAAACAGTTTTTATTCACTGAAGTACATTTTGAGATTGATCTTTGAAAACTGTATTTTTAAATATTAATGCTATTCTGCTTTTATTGACTAACTTCAGCAACACCAACAAAGATCCCAACAGATACTAGCACTCCTCCCAGACAACATTTACCAGCTCATGAAAAGATGGCTCAAAGAAGGTCATCATTTAGTAGCCAGGTAAGCTCTATAGTTAATATACTTTTGAATAAAGATTAATTAAAAGGGAAAGTTATCTAAATGTTCAGAAAAAGTAGTTGGTATATGACACTCAAGATTTTTCTTTAATTTTTGAAGTGGTTACCATACATATAAGTCATTTTTGTTATTTTTCAGGTAAAATGTTAGGGGTTTTTTTTTTGTTTGTTTGTTTTCTGTTTTTTCCCAGTTGTGAACAGCTGATAATTGAGAACAATTTTATATCTACATTCAGATACCAATCACCTATTGTTAAGTCCAGCCAACTTCTGAGACCTCATGCATGGTACTATGGCAGTACCTTGGAAGATACAAAATAAATAGGGAAAAGGCTTTTCCAGTGTAGAGAGGGAGACATACCTGTACTCAATTTACAAAAATATGAGGCATATTGTAAGTTCAGTGATCAGTATATCGTGTGTATATTTCTGGTGGAAGTACTCATATTTGATAATGAGTGTCACTTCAGTGATATTTTTTATTTTGCTTCTAGTCCATAAATTCCCAGTCTGTTGGTCCATCATTAACACAGCCAGTGATGTCGCAAGCTGCAAATTTACCAATTCCACAAGGCATGTCCCAGGTATTTTTTGTTTGTTTTAGTTGAGTATTTACAAATGATAAATTGGTTTTAGGTAAATATGATTAAGTTTATAAATAGTTTTACATATTTTTAAAATAAATAAAATATAACTATTATGTGTGTGTATATATATACATATCTATGTAAGTACACATGCATATTTATTTATTTACACTTATAGGTGCAATGAATCTTAACTAGGGGCATTTAGAGTGTCTGAGGACATTTTTGTTTGATACAATGATTATGGAGTACCACAAGCCCTTAGTAGACATGGGCCAGAGGTGTCAGGTGTCTTTTGAGATGCATGGCAGTCTTGTACAACAAAGAAGTGTACTATTTAATATACCAAAACACCACTTCCTCTGTTGAAAAATACTAAAGACATGAAGTTATTAAAGGTGAAGTGTAACAGTTCATTTTGTTCTTCCTATGGATGTTGGAAGAATTGAGTAACTTTATTCATATTTTAGTTTTTGTGTTCAAATATAGGATATTTATTGATTTCCTGGGTGTAACAAGAATTGTAGGTGTTGACAATATTTATATTAGCTTTACTAAAAGGCTATTGCATCTAAAGCAAAAAAAGTTAATTATGATACTATTATATAGTCTCTGTACATCATATAGACCCTTAATGCAGCCTGAAGAAGTGAAGAAAAACTTTCTAGGAGAATTGTTGTCTGGCCCACAACCCAAAAAAGATCTATAAATAAGCAAGACAAGGGTGATTCCAAAAGTGATGCTGTTACTTTTGATTGTAACATTTTAACTTGTGATTTATAATTTGTTCAGTGCCTCAGATATGTTAAGAATACTACTTAATAGTAATAAACATAAAATCTTAAGACTTGTTTGTCATTAAATAATTTTATAATTCTGATTTCTAATAATATGTTATCATATAAGGACTTTATAACATCACTGTTTTGTTAGGTATTACAATTTAGTCCTCCAATCCTATTTGCCAGAAGCTATTCTAGTACCTGGAGACTAAGTAGTACAATATTGAAGGACGAATAGATAGCAGAAGAAATCAAGGGTGAAATGAAAAAATACATAGAGGTAAATGAGAATAGTGATATAGTATATCAAAATCTCTGGGACATTATGAAGGCAGTTCTACGAGGAAAGTTCATAGCATTGAGCTCATTCATTAAAGAATAGAAAGATACCAAATAAATAACATAACATTACATCTAAGGTCTTAGAAAAAAGAACAAATCAACACCAAAATCAGTAGAAGACAGGAAATAATTAACATCAGAGCTGAAATCAATGAAAGTGAAATTTTAAAAATCAACAAAACAAAAAGTTGGTTCTTTGAAAAAAAATAAACTTAGTCAAACTAACAAAAGAAAGAGGGGAAAACTCATTATTAAAATTTGTGATGAAAAAGGAAATATCACCACAAACACTACAAAAATATAAAGGATAACAGATACTGTTTTGAAAATTTATACTCCAGTTAATTAGAAAATCTTGAAGACATCGACAGATATTTAGAGACATATGACCTACCCATATCAAACCAGGAGTACATAGAAACTTTTAAACTTTAAGTAATGGAATTGAAAACACCATGAAAAGCCTACCAGCAAAGAGAAGCCCAGGACTGGATGGATTCTCAGCCAAGTTCTGCCAAACCTTGAAAGAAGAACCAACACCAGTGTTCTTCAAATTATTCCATGAAATAGAAAAGGAGGGAACCCTTCCAAACTCATTCTGTTCCTGATATCAAAACCAGACAATGTCACATCAAGGAAAGAAAACTTCAGACCTATATGCCTGATGAACATAGATGCAAAAATTCTTATAAAATACTGGTGAATCTCATTTAAAAAACACATTAAAAAGATAATAGTGCACCAGGATCGAGTAGTCATCCCAGGAATACAAGGTTGGTTCAACATACAGAAATTAATAAATGTAATTCACCACATAAAGAGACTTAAAGACAAGAATCACAGAAGAAGCATTTGACACAGCATCCATTCATGTTCATTACTCTAGAAAAATTAGGAATAGTAGGAACATTAACATTATAAAAGCTATATTTCTAAACCCAAGGCCAACATCATTCTAAATGGAGAAACACTGAAAGCATTCCCTCTAATAACTGGAACAAGACAGATATGCCCTCTTTCACTACTTTTATTTAGCATAGTCCTGAAAACTCTAGCCAGAACAATCAGGCAAAAGAATGAAATTAAAGGGATATGAATAGGAAAAGAAGAGCTTAAATTATCCCTGTTTGCTGGCAACATGATCCTATATTTAGTACCCAAAAAACTCCACCAGAAAAGTTCTAGAACTCAAAATGAATTCAGCAAAGTAGCAGTATACAGAATTAACACCCATAAATCGTTCCTATACACCAATGATAATCAGCTAAAAGAGAAAATAGGAAAACTACCCCTTTCACAAGCCTAAAAAAAAAAAAATACTAGGGAACCAGACTAACAAAAGAGGTGAAAGACCTCTACAATGAAAACTACAGAACTAAAGAAATTAAAGAAGACCTTAGAAAGAGGGAAAGATCTCCTGTGTTCTTAGAATTAACATTGTCAAAATGGCCATACGACCAAAAGTGCCATACAGATTTAATGCAATGCCTATTAAAATTCCAATGATATTCTTCATAGAACGAGAAAAAGCAGTCACGAAATTCATTTGGAAAAATAAGAAGCTCAGAATAGCTAAAGCAGTCATACCAGACCTTAAATTATACCATAGAGCTACAGTAACAAAAACAGCATAGTATTGGCACCAAAAGAGGTGTGAAGACCAATGGAATAGAATAGAAGACAGAGAAACAAACCCACATAAATATAGTTATCTCATACTAGACAAAACTACCACCAAAACACACACACACACACACACACACACACAGGAGTAAAGAGAGTCTCTTCAACAAATGGTGCTAGGAAACTGGAAATCCATATATAATAGAAGGAAATTTAACCCCTCTAATCCTGCACTCAACTCAAAGTGGATCAAAGACCTCGATATTAGACCAGAAACCTTGCATCTTCTAGAAGAAAGTATAGGCCCAGCACTCCAACATTGTCAGCTTAGGAACTAACTTCCCCATTCAATATCTCTAACTACTGGGGAAATGCAAATTAAAACTACACTGAGGTTTCACCTCACTCCAGCCAGAATGGCAGTTATTAAGAATTCAAGTAACAATAAATGTGGGGGAAAGGGTAACTGATATATTGCTGCTGGGACTGCAAATTAGAGTAACCACTCTGTAAAGTAGTGTATGGAGATTCCTCAAAAAATTAGGAATGAAACCACCGTTTGACCCAGCTCTCCCAATCCTCGGTATATATCCAAAGAATTTGAAATCAGCATACTACAGTGATGCAGCTGCATGAATATTTATAGCACCTCAGTTCACAATAGCTAAGCTATGGAACCAACCTAGGTGCCCTTCAGTAGATGAATGGATAAAGAAAATGTGGTATCTATACAAAATGGAATATTTCCCAGCCATAAAGAAGAGTGACTTTATGACATTAGCCAACCAGTGGATGGAACTGGAGACTGTCAGCTAAATGAAATTAGCCAGTCCCCTCAAAACCAAAGGTTGAATGTTCTCTCTGATGTGTGGATGCTAGCCCACAAGAGGGGTGAGGCAGGTAGAATAGAAATTCAGTAGATTAGACAAAGAGGCATGAAGGGAAAGGAGGGAAGATAGGAATAGGAAAGACAGTGGAATGAATCTGATATAACTTTCCTGTCTACATATATGAATTTACCACAGTGAATCCTAACACTGTGTACATTCACAAGACTGAGATCCTAATTAAATAAGGTATATTCCATGTTTGTATGAATGTATCAGAATAGATTATACTGTCATGTATAACTAAAAAGAACAAATAAAAATTTAAAAAATACTATTTGTCTTCAAGTACTAACAGACTAGCATTCTACCTAGTGAGCTATATCCACAGCCCAAGCATTTCATAACATAGGGATATTTTTATGCAATAAGTAATGTACTATGTCAAACATACTAGTAAGCATTCAAATTTCACATTTCACTCACTAATAAAGCTCCAATACTTTGTCTTTTTGTTCTATAATTTTATTTCCTGTTATCCTTTGTTTTATGTTTGTTTCTATTTTCTTTTATGTACTTAATAGAAGTCCATTAAATGGTGACAACATAATGTTCACCTACAGGTTCAAATAACATTAGTTAAAATATGTTCGATAACATAAGTACAACATATTTTGACTAATATAAAAAAGACATGAAGCAGTTGTGGTACTAAATTTGTAATATTTTCTCAAACCTAGTAGAATCTAATGTATATATAATATGGTCTGTTTTTTGTCATCTTCAGAAGTCAAGTTTGTATACTTTGGAAAGTAGTCTTCGGTATCCTTAATACAAACTTTTGAAGATAGGATAAAAAAGCATGGGGTGTAAACCATACAGTTCACTGTAGGAGAATATTTTAAAATAGATTTTCAGTAACTTGAAGTTTTTTTCTGCCCTTATACTATATAATGTACTGAATATTCATGGAAATAATCAAATGAGACTATGTTGACTTAAGAGGTGAATTATCAAATGTGGCTAAATTACAAGCAGTAGAAAACAGGCACTGTTTATTACTTAAGTGTAAATCATAGAGAAAAAAGATTGAAAGCCCTGGAAGTAGAGTAACTTTGTTTTCCTACATAATACATGCATTTATTCATAATTGCTTAAAAGTCTGCTTTAAACTTGTCTGATGACAGTATCAGTTGAAAACATGAGTGAAAATAGTAATGTTAGTTATCTATCAGATTTTTGTCACTCTAGGTATCTCTACTGATAATGCAAGTAAAAGGACATTGTAGGAATGACAGAATTTGATATGAATGAATTCTAGGTATAGGCTCCATTTCCACATGGTGAAGAATAGACACAACATAAAAAGTAATTTGTTCTAGTAAGTAGCTGAGCCACCATTTGAACTCCGGTCTTCTAACTCCAGGTATACTTGTAAACATTCAAGATCCACTCAGAAGTCAAAAGCAAACCAGAAATTCGAGCAGGGATAATATTTTTTAAAAGTATTAACTAGTAACTAAGAAAATCTGAAGAATACAGGAATAGGAGATGTAGACAGCAGCCACTAACTAGATGTCAGGGAAAGCACCCAAGGAAGACAGACTTGAAGGATTCCCACTAATTGACCAAACATCTCTTCCCCTATGCCAGGCTGAGAGTCATATCTCATTTTGGGGAGGCATGGCTATAGCCACTGGGTGACGGAAAAGTTCAAATAGCTGCACAAAGGAGGTCTGGAGAGCAGGAAGTCACCTGCTGTGGGAAACTTACAGCCCACTAAGGTATCATTGAGACTTGCTGAGGTGCTGTTGAGACCCCAGCCCCACAAAAAGAAAACAAAATCAAGGTGAATAGTTGTCAGGCTATCCACGCAGAAACACTCTACAGCTCTTGAACTCTTCCTTCACAAGTCCGTGTCCACTTAATTATAAATGGGGGGTCACTATAAAAGGCCCCTGCTTGTGGGCCTCTAGGACCTCCATCAGAAGCCCTCCTGGAGGCAGAGGACCGTGATTTTACCCTACAGGTGCCAGCCTTCCACTGGCACCACTGATACATGAACACAAAGGAAAAGCACCAGAAGCAGGAAAATAAGCACCTTTGTTTGCATTGCCCTCTAGGACCATCTGCTGACATGGCTAATTTGTACATGCCAGCAAAGGAGAAAGTCCTAGGTCCCATGTCACAAAGCAAAGATGGCAGATTAGAAGTTGAGAGGCAATACATGATAACTGACATAACATTCCTAATTCATGGTATACTGCTTATGTTTCACATTGCACAATTAAAAGAAGCAAGTATTTCTAAAATATTTTATACTTTTTTCCACACGTGGTACTTCAGTTTCAGTTTTCAGCGCAGCTAGGAGCCATGCAGCATCTGAAAGACCAGTTGGAGCAACGGACACGGATGATAGAGGCAAATATTCATCGGCAACAAGAAGAACTAAGAAAAATTCAAGAACAACTTCAAATGGTCCATGGTCAAGGGCTGCAGGCAAGTTAATGTTTTTTGTTTTTTTTTCAGTGCAAAGAAAGTGTGCCATTCACATTTTGTTTTGCTAGGAAACTGGCTTTTCTTAATGAAAAGAAGATGCATTTCCCAGATTCCATTCCGTAAATACCCATTAATTACATGATCAATATGATTATATTTACTTTCTCCAAAGATATTCATTCCTAAGGATATTTCCACCAGCATTCTTGTTTTTCCAGATTACTGAAATCCAAATTTTAGTATTTACATCCTTAATAGAAAAGTTACATTTTTTTAAAAAAGCTTTAAGGTGCAGAATTTGTAAGTAATAGTAAATACCAATAGGTATGTTTCATATTTGTCTTACTCGTCCAAGCAACAGGACTATTCTAGGTGACTAGAACTTTGGTAAAGGAAAACTTTAAATGAATTATTTCTGCCTAATTTCATAAATTTTAAATGATGGATGATACAAAGCCACCAGTCCACAGACCTTTGAGTGGCACTGAGTTACACTACAATTGGAAACACGATAGGTTAGGATGACTGGAATTATGAATGTGAAATTTCACATTTTATTCAGTAATTATTTTTGATCAATCAAAATGATTTATGATGTTGTTATTTATTGTCTTTTAAACTTGGTTTGAAACTTTGTTTGCTATCATTTGTCTTTAATTCCCAGCACCATCACTGCCCCCCCCCACACCAAAAAAAGAAAAAAAAGCTCATTTAAAGGTAATCTTTTATTTTCACAGATGTTTTTGCAGCAGTCAAACCCTGGGTTGAACTTTGGTTCTGTTCAGCTTACTTCTGGAAATTCATCTAACATCCAGCAACTCACACCTGTGAATATGCAAGGCCAGGTTGTTTCTACTAACCAAATTCAAAGTGGAATGAATACTGGACATATTGGTACAAGTCCGCACATGATACAACAACAGACTTTACAGAGTACATCTACTCAGGTAATGTCAAGTACAATGGGAAATGGAATGTTGAGTAATTGAAGTATGAACTAATGTTAAAACGAAAATAAAGTCCTATCTTACGCCGTCTTTTAAAATGTAATAGTAATTAGAACACAAAATACTGAGATGATCACTAAAATATTTTGTACAACATTATGTTCATGTTAAATATTTTCTCTATTTTGACATTTTAAAAATTTTATGATCTTTTTAAGTATCTAGCCTAATTATACAATTTTCTTATAACTTACAGGCTACTACCATATGTTAAAATTTTGCGAAGGAGATTGATCAGGAAACATGTTCTCATATCTCACATGTACATAATAGACTGTTGAGATCAGTGGTGGTTTAACTAACATTCCATAAAATTCTGGTATCTAGTGTATATTTGTGACTATAGATGAAAAATATAAAATGAAAAATGAATAAATATACCTAACCATCAGTCACTCATTCATGTATGTTTTCTGTCATCACTGTTAGGATCACACTCCTTTTAAAGTTATAGCTTACCTTCTAACAGGGAAGTCAAGACTAATTCATTGTTACTACCAGTCATTCCTTTGTAATTAGATCTCTTTCAGAGTAATATGTCCTGCCACACACTGTTAGGTTAGTTGTTAAAACAGTGACTAGTAGAAGCATACTTCCCAAATAACTTTGCTCAGTTAATCTTTCTGTAAAACCTTCTCTTTTCTAGCAGAATCAACAAAGTGTACTGAGTGGGCACAGTCAGCAAACGTCTCTTCCCAGTCAGACGCAGAGCACTCTTACAGCCCCACTGTATAATACTATGGTGATTTCTCAGCCTGCAGCTGGAAGCATGGTCCAGATTCCATCCAGTATGCCACAGAACAGTACCCAGAGTGCTGCAGTAACTACATTCACTCAGGACAGACAGATAAGGTAGTTGTCATACCTCATTTGTTATTTTCAGAGTTGTAAATTGATTAATTTAAAGCAGTGATTTGGGACTAAGGACATAGCTCAGTGGTAGAGTGCTTGCCTAATATGCACAAGGCCCTGGGTTCAATCCTAGCACTATAAAACACAAAACAAAAATATCTGATAAGTTGATTTTTTTAAAACATGATTTTAGTTTGTTGCTCATTGAAGCCATGGTTCTTAAATTTGAAATTAAAAAGATACATCCATTGTTTAAAGATTTTATAATAGAAGAGTACCAAATTTTGTTTGTTCTCTAAACATGAGTTACTAACCCAGGCATTATGCTGCTCACCTATAATCCCAGCGGCTCCAGAGGCTGAGGCAGGAGGATTGCAAGTTCAAAGCCAGCTTTAGCAACTTAGCAAGGCCTTAAGTAACTCAGTGAGACCCTGTACAAAAAAGTTCTGGGGATGTGGCTCAGTGGTTAAGTGCCCCTGGGTTCAATCCCCAATACCCCCCCCCCAAAAAAAAAAGAGTTACCACATATTACAGAATCCAAATTCTGCAGCTCATTGTTGTACAAGGGCTATGTGATACTAATCTTTAAGATATAGATGTTAGAGAGTTTTCATGTAGTAACAGTGGTTAGGGTAGCTTCTCAAAGTCTTTAAGTGCTCAAAATATATTATTTCTTTTTTTTTAATGTATGTTCAGATCTTCTTTCCCAAGAAAAAGTGAATTTTTAATAATTTAGTCAAGGGCCTGTCACTGGTTAAGTCAGTGAGGAGGCTTTGGACCTGGGTGTCTGGTTTCAAAGTTCCATTGCATAAACATATATACTACAGGAAGTTTTTGTGTGCTGTTCTAGACAAACAATAGTCTATGACTTATTTTAGTGAGAAGTTCAAATAGCTGGCTTAGCATTTCTTTGAAAAATCTGTTTCTGTTTTTATACTGGGAAGCTATCTTTTTAAATAAAAACTATAGGGTCTTTGCAATTTTAAATGCTTTTATTTTTTTGTCTCAAATGTTCTTCTTTTATATACAGTTTTCTGTATTATTAAGCACAGTTTTATTAAAATCATGTTAATAGTTTTCATAGGAAAGAAGCTGCAAGATTACTACTAGACAATGAAAAACAGAGAACTTATTACTTCTCTTTGAAGCTTATTTCCCTCAACTTAAAAAAAAGTTTCAACTTTTAGCTCTCACATCCTGAAGAGGAAGTCTTATAAATGTGCTCCAATGAAATTCAGAGAACTTATTTTTGTTTAGGTTGCTGGGGATTCAGCCCAGAGCCTTGCACATGCTAAGCATGTACTTTACTATGAGGTACACCTATAGTCAGAGGACTAATTTTAAAGCCTGAGTGGAAAGACATTAAATTTGAATGCTGACATACATTTTAGAGGATGCAGTTTAGCAACTCTTTGTACATACATATCTGTTTCTTGAGGAGAGGAAAACATTTCAGCAGACATATGAAGCCTACCATATTTGTATATGGCGTAGTCCTGTCCCTTGAGGAAAGACCAGAGTAGTAAAAGTAATAGAAAGGAAGATACCATCTCACTCCAATAAGAATGGCAGCCATTATGAAGTCAAACAACAATAAGTGCTGGCGAGGATGCAGGGAAAAAGGTACACTCATACATTGCTGGTGGCACTGCAAATTGGTGCAGCCAATTTGGAAAGCAGTATGGAGATTCCTTGGAAAGCTGGGAATGGAACCACCATTTGACCCAGCTATTCCCCTTCTCAGACTATACCCAAAAGACCTAAAAAGAGCATACTACAGGGACACAGCCACATCAATGTTTATAGCAGCACAATTCACAATAGCTAGAATGTGGAACCAACCTAGATGCCCTTCAATAGATGAATGGATTTAAAAAATGTGGCATTTATACACAATGGAATATTACTCAGCACTAAAAAATAACAAGATCATGGCATTTGCAGGCAAATGGATGGCGTTAGAGCAGATTATGCTAAGTGAAGTTAACCAATCCCTAAAAAACAAATGCCGAATGTCTTCTCTGATATAAGGGGGGTGACTCAAAATGGGATAGGGAGGAAGAGCATGAGAAGAAGACTACCACTAAATAGGGAAGAGAGATGGGAGGGAAAAAGAGGGAGAAGGGGAGTTGCATGGAAGATGGAAGGAGAACCTCATTGTTATACAGAATACATATATGATGTTGTAATGAGAAAAAGAAAAAAAAAGTGTGTCACATTAGATTGGATAGAGAGAAAGGATGGGAGAGGAGGGGGAGTAGTAGGGGGGATAGGAAGGGCAGCAGAATAGAATAGACAATATGATTGATGTATGTACATTCCGTATATGTATTACATGTCAAAATACATTCTGCTGTCATGTATGACTAAAAAAAATTTTTTAAAAAGTAATAGGGAAACAAGTCATATTATTTGGTGTAATGAATACTTAGTAGGCTTTTGGAAGGGAAGAAGTGAGCAGTTTTATGAATTGAGGCAGGCAGGTGAAGGGAGGAGTCGTCATGGAAAGCTTCACCACAGGAGATAATTGGCCTGCCTTAAAGAGCTTGGCCTTGAGTTTGCCTGTGGCAAGGAATTCAAGGAGGAATTCTAGGCAGAGGAAACAGTATATACAAAGCCACAGAGTGCGGTTGAGCATAAGTAGATTAAAGAATGTCTTGGGATGAGATAGATAAAGTATTATCTTTAAAAGTGACTCGTTGCAATTCAGGTATTAATTTTGTTTAAGATTACAGAGAAATTGGCACTTAGCTCTTCTGTGATTAAACATACTTTGTTCATGTTGTTTCTTTGAGCTTTCTTACACAGAATTTTTTAAAATTCTGTTTTGTTTCTTTGTTGTTTTTTGTTTGTTGCATTCAAGTGTTTGGCCCTGATGTATATAAAATACAGTATTTTATTTACAAGATCTGGCATGGACACAAACTAAATTTATTTTAGGGGATAGGGTTTTAGCTCAGAGGTATAATGTTTGCCTAGCATGCACAACACCCTAGGTTTGATTTCTGGCACCATAAAACAAATAAGTAAATAAATAAAAGTAAATTTATTTTGTCTGTGAATATATAAATAAAGTACCTGTGTACTAAGCTTAATATTTGTACCTACTTTAAATAGTTTATAATGTGGTTATGTCATGCTGTATCTACAGTATGGTTTTATCTGTTTCCTTGCTGTAGTTGTCAATGTTAGAAACAAACTTCTTCTCAGAAAGAAATGGAAAAAGTTTTGCTCCCCAAAGAGGCATTATTTTTTGTCTTTGTTAAGAAAATAGAAGAAGGAGCTGGGCATAGTGTCACACACCTATAATCCCAGCATCCCAGAAGGTTGAGGCAAGAGAATCACAGGTTTGAGAATGGCCTGGGCCACTTAGCAAGAACCCATCTCAAAAAACAAAACAAGGAACTGGGTGTTGTAGTGCATGTCTATAAACCCAGTGACTTGGAAGGCTGAGGCAGGAGAATTGCAAGTTCAAGGACAGCTTCAGCAAGTTAGTGAGGCTCTAATAAGCAACTTGATAAGGCCGTGTCTCAAATAAAAATTAAAAAGGGCTGGGGACACTGAGTGCAGTGGCCCATGCCTATAATCCCAGCAGCTCAGGAGGCTGAGGCAGGAAGATTGTGAGATCAAAGCTGCCCTCAACAACAGTGAGGTGCTAAGCAACTCAGTGAGACCCTATCTCTAAATTTTAAAAAAGGGGCCGGGCTAGGAATGTGGCTCAATGGTTAAGTGCCTCTGGATTACAACTCGAGTGTAGTCCCCCCCCCCCCCAAAAAAAAAAAGGTCTGGAGATACAGCTTAGTGGTAAAGTGTACCTGGGTTCAATCTTTATTACCAAAACAAAAAAAAAATCTAACACAGTGGGCGCCATAATATGACAAGTTTATAAACTACAAGTACTTTATTCATTTGTTTTGATTTGTGTTGTTTTAAATATTTATTTTTTAGTTGTAGTTATTTTATTTATATGTGGTGCTGAGAATCGAACCCAGGGCCCCGCATGTGCCAGGCAAGTGCTCTATCGCTGAGCCACAACCCCAGCCCTTGATTTATGTTTTTTAAGTTACCACCTTTAAATGTACATTTCTTACATAAATATAAAGTTTTTAAAAATTACCATATGGTAGCTTTAAGTTTGTTCCTGAACTATGTGCCACTTTATCTGACTCCTAAATACCTAGCCACTTTATGAAAAGAAAAAGTTCATTTTTTTTTCCAGTTTAAAAATTTTTTAACTGTGGTAAAATATACATAAAAAAATTTACCATAGTAACCATTTTAAAGTATGTGGTTGAATGGCCATTGAGTATATTCACACAGTTGTTGTCACTCTACCCTCAACCATCTGTCCCCAGAACTGTTTTCATTTTTCCAAACTGAGTCTTCATTCTTCATAACCATTAAACAACTTCCTAGCTTGCCCAACCTTGCCTCTTATCTATGGCAACCACCATTCTACTTTCTATCTGTATGAATTTGACTACTTTGAGTATTTCATGTAAGTCAAAATACAGCATTTATCCTTTTGTTATTGGCTTATTTCACTTAGCCTAATGTTCTCAGGGTTCATCCATGTTGTAGCATGTGTCAGAATATTCTTCCTTTCTAAGGTGAAATAATATCCCATTGTATTATATACTGTATTTTGTTTATTGATTTCACCTGCCAGTGGACACTTGAGTGGCTTCCACCTTTTGTTAAGTATGACTATGCTGCTATGAACATGGGTATAAGAGTATCTGAGTCCCTCCTTTTATTTCTTTTGGATGCCCAGGAGTAGAATTGCTTCATATGGTAATTCTATTTAATTTTTGTAGGAATTGCCATATGGTCTTTCATTTTACAATACTACCAGCAGTACACAGAGGTTCCAGTTTCTCTACATCTTTGCCAACAGTGGTTATTTTTGTTGGATTTTTCTGTAATAGCTATCCTGATGGGTGTAAGGTGGCTGCTGCTTCTTGTTTTGATTTGCATTTCCTTAATGATGTTGAACAACTTTTCATGTGTTTATTGGCCATTTATATCTCTTTTTTGGAGAAATACCTATTCAAGTTATACCTGTGTCCATTTTTTAAATGGGTTGATTGTTGTTTAGTTGTTATCGTTCTTCATATGTTCTGGTTATTATAATAACCAGATAAATCAGATACACGATTTGCAAGCATTTCTTCCCATTATTGAGTTGCCTCATGCTGTCAGTTTTGCCCTTGGATGCATAAAATAATTTTGTGTAGTCCAGTTTATCTGTGTGTGTGTGTGTGTGAGAGAGAGAGAGAGAGAGAGAGAGAGAGAGAGAGAGAGAGAAAGAGAGACAGAGATAGAGAGATACTGAAGGTTGAACTGAGACCTTGTACTTGCTAGGCAATCACTCTACTACTGAACTACATCTCTAGCCCTTTTTATTTTGAGTCAGGGTCTCACTAAATTGCCCAGGCTGGCCTTGAATTTGAGATCATCATGCCTGGGCAGTCTATTTATCTTTTTTGTCACCTGTGCTTTTGGTGTTATCCAAGGAATCATTGCCAATTACAATGTCGCAAAACTTTTCCCATTTGCTTCTAAGAGTTTTATAGTTTTAGCTTTTATGTTTGGGTGTTTGCTTCCTTTTGAATTGATTTTTGCATATGATGTAAAACAAAAGAACTAATTAATCAAGAACTAATTAACTTCATTCTTTTGAATATGGATATTTTAGAAAGTTATTTTTTATTATATCTGTTTTTGTTGTCATATGTTGATTTTGCCACATACATTTATGTCTTGCTGAAATCCCAAAGAGAATTTTTAAAAACAAAAGCAAAATAGAAGCATATAGCTTTTATAAAAATAAATTGGCAGTATTAATATCTTAGATAAGGGTTCATCTCATTGCCTTTTTGTGATGTATACTTTGTACTTTTGACTTTACTTCTTTCTTTCCTCTACAGATTTTCTCAAGGTCAGCAGCTTGTGACCAAATTAGTGACTGCTCCTGTAGCTTGTGGGGCAGTCATGGTACCTAGTACTATGCTCATGGGTCAGGTGGTGACTGCCTATCCTACTTTTGCTGCACAACAGCAGCAGGCACAGACACTGTCAGTAACGCAGCAGCAGCAGCAGCAGCAGCAACAGCAACAGCAGCAGCAGACTTCCCAGGAACAGCAGCTTCCTCCAGTTCAGCAACCATCTCAGGCTCAACTGACTCAAACACCACAGCAGTTTTTACAGGTAACTCTTCCTACAAGAAGCCACCTTAAACCTATTTATAATAGAATTAGGTGCTAAATTAAAGGTTTGTAAATTATCTCAAAAACTCATAAAAGTTTATGTACAATTTAAATCTCTACGAAGATAGAAAGCTTGTCCTGGGTAGCCATTGTTTTCCTTCTCTTCATTGAAAGACTTTTAGCCCTGCCATTGGTATACCAAGTGATCTGAGCTGCAGGGTAGAATAAGTAATTTTGGGCCTATATGAGGGTACTTTTGTAAAGCCTATTTTCCTCTCTGGTACTACAGTTTCTGGAAGTCAAGCAGAGACTCCTTTCTCTGTCTGTTTCCTTTCTCAATACCCAACAAATTCTGTCCTGCATAAGCAGGGGTATAAAAGGGATTTCTGTATCAGCCTACATATTATCTTAAATTATTTTGTTGGAATAAAGTTTATTGGAATTTTTCTGTTATAAATAATGTCAGAGGAGAAATAGTGGCGGTACACAGTATGTGTTATAGTTACAACTTGGATTCTAAAATCAGACTGTCCTGAGATTGCGTCACTGCTATACCACATATTGTGTGACCTTTGGCAAGTTAAACTGACCAAGCCTCACTTATTGTCTGGATGTGATAATAGTTCACAGATATTTAAAAAGTATAAATAGCTGATTGTAGTATAATGCACCTAACTAGCTGTCATGTATAACCACTATGTTGACAAATGTAATAAGTACTCAGATTAACCAAAAAACAGATATGTGGGTAAATTATATAGGATCTCCTTATCCAAAGGTTACAGCATAAGTTACCTATGGCAGGGTTGTCAGCAAAGAAATAAACAGAAACAGTCTCTGGATCTCAGTACCCTCACTTGGAAGTCCAGCTCTTTCCCTTCCCTTTTACCTTGAGCACGTTTGTATGTAGATTAGCCTTGATTTGTACTGGAGACCACCTCATCTGGAACAGGCACTTGTCATCAGTTTCACAGTTATACAACTAGAATATTCAAAAGTATACTATATATTAAAAAGTAAATACAGCTTTAATTTATCACTGTTTGTATCCTAGTCCAGATATAAAGCTTGTTTTGATGATGTGGAAGACAAAAACAGATTAGTTGCCAAAATACATCTGGTAGTCATACAGTCTCTTAGACCTTAAGTCTGTACTGTAGCCATTAATAAATGGCTTTGCTATTAATATAAAGTAATAAGAATTTAAAACAAGTCCTAAACTATTATCTAAGGGAAATATATCCAATGATAATTAAGCAGAAACTTATATAAAAAAAGAGGATTTGCCTTAAGATCTCAGTCTATCAAGGAAGAAAGACCTCTAAAAGAATTAACCTTCTCTTTCTTGATTCTCCCAAAAAAGGCACCTAAAGATATCCATAAAAAAGATGAGTGATGCCCTTCATAAATATACTTACTTGTGTATAATAAATGTACAGTTTGCTTTTTAAAATTGTTTATCTGTCCCAAAATGTACTTAAGTTGTAATCCTGTAAGACTCCTACATATCCTGAATTCATCTCACACAGAGTTTTGCTAGTAACAGAGAGAAAGAAAACTCTAAAGGTCCTTACCAAAAGCTTAATGGTCTTTCAGGTTTAAGAGAGAGAGAGAGAGAGAGAGACTCCTTCATACACACTCACAAACATCACCCACAACAACTCCATTTTAAAATTAAGAATCTTGCAGCAAATGTATTGTCTTTGGGAAGGACTTTAAAATCTTAACTTTCTTTTAGCTAGTTTCATATATATCCTGGAGTTACATTTATAAATAATATGCCAGAAGTAAAAACTTGGTAAAAGAAATTGAGGTGCATAGAATTGAGACTTGCATCAGGTCAGGTAACTTGTAAATGGCAGAGCAAAACCCAAATGCGGGGCTTCTGACTACAGATCCTGGGCCTTTTTTGGTTTGAGCTGTTTTTGTTGTAACATCCTAAGAATGTGTGGTTTCTCTCAAGACATTAGTTGCTTTCTATACCATGAAATCGCCAGTCCAGATTCCTTCGAAAAGTGAAATTTTTGTTATATTTTCAGAAAGGAAAAGCTTCTTAAGCATGCAAAAATATGATTTTAATCTTAGAGAGCAAAAATGTCCCTTGGATAGTGCACAACTTTAGCAAATCTTATGTGCACAGTATAATGGAGAGGGTAAAATAATGTTGGGTAATACATTGATTTTTCCTTTTTAGACTTCTAGGTTGCTCCATGGGAATCCTTCAACTCAGCTCATCCTCTCTGCTGCGTTTCCACTACAACAGAGCACCTTCTCTCAGTCACATCACCAGCAACACCAGTCTCAGCAACAGCAGCAACTTAGTCGGCACAGGACTGACAGTTTGACTGATCCTTCTAAGGTTCAATCACAGTAGCACAAGTACTTCCTCCAGCGCCAAAGGAGGAAGGTGGTGGTCCATAAACGTTGCTCAGATGACCTGAGGTTAGGAGGAAAAGTTCCAGCAGTTTCATGAGATACAGTATTGAGTGTTCTAGTTCCTGGAATTAGTTGGTAGGGAAAATGTGCCTAGTGCTATAGATGTACGTTAAAACCAGCCAGCAGAAGATGATCATAGGGACATAGCCAATTCTGACAGTGTTTCAGTTGCCCAGATATTTTTTGATGGAAAAAGAGTATATTGCCAAATGTTAAGAAGCTCAGCTATAAAATGACCTCCAGTGAATCAGAAAGGCACTAACAATGTTAGTCACTTCTAGTGGTCTGTGCCTGCTATCAAGTGTTACAGAGGACACACCACTGCCATGTCAGGGGTTTGCTTACAATGATGCCATGAAGATAATCTAGTAGTCAATAGCCCCCACCTTAAGCCCCTCTCCCTTTTCAGATAATGATGGAACAGTAATTTCAGAATGTTGTGTGGGTTTAAATTTTTTGTGTACAGATACTGTAAAAATATGTATATGTCTGGATGAAGGAGAGAAAGCAAAACACTGTGTAAGCTGCATGAAAGCATTCTCTCTTCCATATGAGTACATTTCATTAGATTCCGACACCATGTACAAACTGATACATCAGTCTCTGTTTTTCCTTTTGTTTACAACATAATAGTGTTCTATTCACTTTTCCAGGGCACAAGTCTTTTTGTTCATACTTTGGCTGTGATGTCACAGTTTGTTCAGTGAGGTATGATGTGCTGCTGGGAATGGATTTTTTTTCAGGTTAAATTATTGATACAACAAGACTTTCAAGTTATTCAGAAATATCCCTCATTTCATTATTTTTGTTTGAAAATAGGATTTGCACTGCTTTATTTTAGATGGTTGGGAGTTTGATCACATATTTTGATATATTTCATTGTTGCAAATATTTATGTAAATGGTTTTCAACAAGCCTGAAAGTAATTTCAAGAATGTTTCAGTTATAGGAATAAAATTTGCACACAAACATTATAGGCACTTTTTAACATTCCCAATGGTGGGAATTTTAACTTTTAGGATTTGTTGGAATCTTTTTATTATCCTTCACAATTTCAATGCTTCTTTTAGTCAGCAATGATTCAGGGTTATTTGAGGGGGGGGGAACCCATAGTGCCTTGATTTTAATTCAGGTGATAACTCACCATCTTGAACTTATTGTCTGGTTTCAGTAGCAGTTTTTGAAACCTTAGTACATTTTTAACAGCATGTGGGTGTCAGTGTCATTATTCTCCTAAGTTCCTATGAAGACTGCTGTGAGTCTCTTGGACTGGGGTACAAATAATTTAGAAATAAAAAAGATGACAACCTAACACTACACACTTTAAAGGTTCCCAAATTTGTTTCCTAAATTAAACAGTCGCTGGGCGTGGTGGTGCATGCCTGTAATCCCAGCGGCTAGGGAGGCTGAGACAGGAGGATTGCGAGTTGAAAGCCGGCCTCAGCAATGGCAAGGCACTAAGTAATTGAGTGAGACCCTGTCTCTAATTAAAATATGTAATAAGGCTGGAGATGTGGCTCAGTGGTTGAGCACCCCTGAGTTAAAACCCAGGTACCCCTCCTCCAAAAGAAAAGACCCCCCAAAAAAACCCAACAAAACAAAAAACCCTAAACAGTCATTTAAGAATTACCAGTAAATATTGGCTCAATATAATATTGATATTTTTACCCAAAAAGGGCAAGTATTGGCTTTGTATTTCACTACATTGGGATATTGTAACTCACATGCTTTGTAAACATGAACTAAGATTTCATCTGGCAATATCATGTTCTAAAGGTAATAAATTTCAACACAAGTTACATATATTAAAAATAGTAATTTTTTAGATTTTATGGTACTAATACTGAAATTTACAACTATAGAACAAAAGATTAGTGGAAATTTCTTATTATAATACAAAAAATTATTACTAAAAAAGGGGAGGACAAATGTAATAAATCAAAATTGACCTTAAAAGAAAATGTAACAGAATTGAAGTTGTTAAACAGAAATGGTTTTGTGCAATGAAAATCACCTACTGCAGAAGTACTAGATAAAAGGCTCAGGGGAATGCCAAGTCAGTTCTCTGTCCTTACCTTTGCTATCATCCTTGAGGGACAAATTGTTTTTCTGTAACAAAAACAGAACCATAACTGTCTATAATTAAATTAGAAAATTAATACTGTAAAAGAAAACAACCAAAGAAAATGGTACTTACCCTTCTGCAAAAGAAGTGTGACTAGATACCAGTTAGTAATTAACATATCATGGAGTTCTAGCTAAATGATCATCCAGAAGAGATTCCTGACATTCCCATGAATGTCAAGATTGGTTGTCAGAATGTGTGTACCTGAGCATATGTGCACATGGCAAAATCAGTGTTGTAAAATATGGCAATAGCATTGCTTTTCTCCCCTTCCAAATTGCCTTTCTTGACCTTATGCCATTCCGAATAAATCTTGAGTTGTGCCTCATTTATTTATTGGCAATACCTAGTGATAAGGACTTAGCTAACAAAAGATATGAACTATTGAGTTAAGGCTTGCCCTCTAAGTACCATACTTAAAAGAAAGATTATGAACTGTGAATACTATGTACTCAACAGAAGCAAAACAGGCCACAAAGTAAATCTGCAGATTATTTGTTTAACTCACATTCTTCAACTCTTAACTCCTTTAAATATTTTCCATCTTAACTGAATATTTGGGGAAGGAAAAAATTTATGTCACAATTCCTGTTGTTCTTCATGATTCATCTTTTTCCTGCTTGAAATTTACAGTTGCTAAATTTAAAGAAGCAGCCATGCTTTTTTTCCTTTGCGGTCAGTATGGAGTATTATGTTGGAAAAACTGTTCAGCACAAGCTGCCCCTTCTTTACTTTGGTTTCCTTGTGCTTCTCCTAAATTTGAGTTGCAAGGCTAGTCCCTGTCCCCTTCCTTCCCTGTGAGACTTAAGCATTGAGAGGGAGATTCAGCAGTTGTCTGTTCTGTATTCCATTTTCATAGCCAAAGTTGTTAATTCAAATCCCAAACCTAAGTCATGAAAAGATACCAAATGGAACCCTTTTCAGCTTCCCTCTGCTTTACTCTCACAGGGATTCAGTTTTTCTTAAAAACATTTTATTCTGGGTGGCACTTTTTAGATAAGAAACTGTGGAGGTAAAGGAAAGATGCCAGCCCCCCTGCAGTTATCTTTCTGTGGACTGCTGGGGCACAGTGTGAGCCAGTATTGCCTCGCAAATACAAATGAGAACTGCAGGGATTAATAAAGTTGCTGCTGAGAGTGATGTCACACCAGAACCTAGACACTTGAAAAGTACTTGTTTTTGTTTTGAGTAAAATATGGGCAGAAAAAGTAAATGTGGTGAATGGGGTGGAAGGGGCGGTGTAGTGTGAAAGTAAATACTACAGTTCAGTTTTCCGAACTACATCCTAAATTCAGGGGGTAATTTTAGAGTGATGTGCTCTGCTTTGTCACTTAGATGTGGCTTAGGAATGTACTAGTAATAAAAGGATGCCAGTGATCTTGACTAGTTTGTTAGAGAATATTTAGTGCAGAATAGTGAGTGTGTTTGAATTCTTCAGATGTGCTGTAGTTGTTGGTTGTTGCCTTAAAGCAGTCTCTTGAAGTTAGGAGCACTGAAGCAGTCCAGCTCTGTAAAGGGCATTGTGTTGAAGGGAGATATGAACCCTTGTTCGAAGCCTTAGAAAAGGACCCTGAAAATAGCCTAAAAAGGTAGAAATTCTTTTCAACTGGACATTATTCTTTATGTTTGAAAATGTTTCCACTACACTGAGGCAAACTTTTAAGTGGACTACAGATAGAAAATTTAACTTTAGTTTTTCTACTTTTTTCTATTTCTTTGGTGATTGAAGATTTGTTTGAACATTTGTGTAAAGCTCATTCAAGTCTACAACCTTTCCTATATCTGTGGCCCTGTTCTTAGTCCCACGGGAGTCCACATTGGAAAGTATAAACACTGGATATTAATATTGCTGAGTGCATCTAGCCAGGAGAAAGCTGATTGGAACTTTTCAGTGGTGGAGAAAACACAGCACAAAGGCACTTGCCATTTTAATAGTGATTTGGAGAGAGAGATCTTTTTAAGTTTGTCTGAATTGGGTGAGCATTCTTCTAAAAGGAGCTTCTGAAGTCATTGCAAAGGAAAAGAGTCGACTATTTTTATAGCATATTTAATATATTTGTATATAACTATGAGTATAGTAGAAACCCTCCACATGCTTCCCACTTTTCTAATTTCCTCCCCTTTTTGCCATAGCCCTAGTATAGCCTCGTCCGCATGGGTAATGTGCCTATTGTCAGCCTACCAAAAGATAGTGCTGCTGCTTTTTGAGACAGGTGAGAAGACCAGACTCTCATGCCTGGGGATCCTTTATGGGAGGAATAGCACACACTTAACATACTGCAGTCTAAAAGCATCATTTTGAAATGTAACAAGCACTTTATTGCAATTATTCATTTTGATAAAGTTTATCTTAGGCATTAACCATTTCTAAAGGATCCCCAAATCATCACTTAGGTGAAATAATAAAATGACACATTTCTGAGAAATGTTTAGATCCAGTGAACCGTAGTAGGTTTATGGGAGTGATCTCAAGATAGCCAAATGAACTCTTGACTTTTGTTTTGAATGTGGTGGAATTAAGAGACTGTAGATGCCTAGTTCCATTTAAACACTATTGTAAACCTATCTTGCCTATTGTGTGGACACCAAAAGAGACCAATGAGCCTGTTTATTTTCAGAGGTCTAGGAAAATTGCATCCATGTGAGTAGATGTACTGAACTAATCTAAAAGTGATTGGTAGTGATATTTTAGAATACAGTAATTTCAAGAATTATTCTGAGTGTTTTAAATGTGCCCTGAAATGTTGGCATGTCATTTCAGCGTTTCCATTTGAATTCTCTTGTAATATTTTTGCACAAAAATAACTGAGAAAAAGACTACTTTGGTTGAAGAAAAAGAAAAGTATAATTTGGTCTTATTTTAATGTCTCCTGTGGAAGCACTGGGGATAAATTTTGTTGGTATAGTTATTAATTCAGGATATTTAAAACAGTGTTGAACAGCTCACAAGAAATTAAGCAAACTTGGATATTTAAAAATTAAAATACTTTCTTTCCATGTGACTGTTTTGCATAGTTTTTTTTTCCCCCCACACTGTCATAACACTACATTCCTTGTTTTTCTTAAATAATACTTTGCAGGTTTTGATATTTTGTACAATGCCTGGGTTATTCCTAGGGAATGATCTTTAGCATAATAGGATATAGTTTCTAAGGAGACTATTAAGTAAAATTCCATCTCCACCACCAGCAAACACTGAGGTGCTGCATTAAATGACAATCAAAATAGTAAGTATTTAGAAAGTGGTTGAAAGAAGCAATTGCTTTGAAAGCAGTTCTCTGGGTTTCTTGAGTAAAAATCAGCTAAATATAGTTATTTATATTTTTAGGTATCTTTGCATTCTGTTTTCTCATCTGTGATTTAAGTGTCATGTATCTAATTTGTGGTTGGTTGTTTTGCATCATCTTGTACTTGGAGAACTGGCTTTTATTTGGGGCTGTTGCTAGCTCGCTTGATGACTCCATGAACAATCCAAATCTGTTTCACTGCAGGATGGCAGTGGAGGGCCCAAATTCAGATGCCTCTACACTTCCCTCCTGCTCTCAAATAATTGAAGAAAAAAAAATTAAAAGGTAACTCCTTTAAACTCTGCTTTACATAACTCGGATCTTTTTCTAGTTTCACTTGCTGCCTTCTCTATTTTACAGGCACTTTTTGTATGATTACGTTCCCCAAATACAGCCAAAGGCCAGTATGACAGAACCAATGGCATGCATTGCCTCTATTTTGTCCATTTCAAGTCATGTTAGTAAAACAGCATCTTCTAATGGCTGTCATTATCATATCCATATTAAAGTCCTTAAATACAAATGGAATAATGTATACACACTGAAAACTTGTACTACAAAAGTTTGCTGTCTTTATATAGTGTAGTGTTGCTTGATGTTTTGAAAACAAACCAAACCTCCATACACAGCATTGTCCAATAAAGCAGTGTTTGAACATTCTGAAGCCTAGCTATTTGAGGATTCTTCTTGCTTACATATATTGGTACATAATCCTCCACATTAGAGCTCCCAGAGTAACTTTGGAGTCCCATAGGCTAGGAATAGCACACACAGGGATCCCTTAGAGAATGTTAATTAAAACATGTCAACCACATGTTGGTTTAAATCAAAGATATGCTATGTTTTCAAATGCATGCTTTTAAATCTCTGAGCAAACTGTGACATCGCTTTAAGAATTAACATTCGTGTGTGTGTGGGGGGGGGGGTGAGAGAGAGTAGGTGAGTGAGTTGGCTTGTACTGGTGCAGATTCACTGCTGGCAATGGTTGTGCCAGTACTAAGAAGCTAGAATGTGGGGAAAGCCGTTATCTTCAAATTGATGTGTACCTAGACAATCATCTTAGCAAAAAAGTTGTCCAGGAAAAATTAAAAAAAAAAAAATGTCAGCCAGAATAGAACGGCTGTAATTTAAACCATTCTAGAATTATTTTGAAATCTATTTTACTATGGTTTAAGTTAGGGAAGGGCCTCAGTATGGCACTTTCATATTCACTCTGTGTGAAGATCAAAACCCAAAGATGAGTTAAATCAGTGCTGTACTGAAACCAGTTAGTGCAAAAAAAAAAAAAAAGTTTTATCTTTGTAAATTTTTAATTGTTTAACATCAAGTTGGTAGTTGTAAAAACACACACCAAATTCTTTTCTAATGTTCTATGTGGTTCTTAGTGTGCTATTCTTTATTCTTGACATTGCTGTCTTTACTGCTTGGTTCTTGGTTTTAAAATAAAAATGTAGACGTAGCCTGTCATTCTTATTTCCAAAAGGGTAGAGCTATTATTAAATGGCTACTGAATACCTTTTTTTCCCCTAAAGCAAACATTTAAATGAAATCCAAATTAATTTACAAAAGTGAGACTTGGCATTTTTCAGGTATTGTCTCCTGCCAAAGTCCTAAATTGCATAGAAGCATGAGGGATAATGAATGGTTTCAATGGTGCTATATTAGAGTCTTTGATTTCTATGAGCTATGTTTGGAAATATTGTATAAAATATGTGGATCATTTTGTTACCAACTTAATATTGCCATCTTAATTTGATGTTACAATTGGCTACACTCACTTTTCAAAGCTGTCCATTGAAAAGAAAGTCAAAATGTGTGACTAGCCTACCTCCACTCAGGCTTCTTGCTCTGTGATCATTTTTTCCAAGTTATGATGTGCATAGCTTTTCAAATCTACATGTACTCTTATAATGTTCTTTCCCACAGATTCTTGTATATTCAGAACCTAAAATTATAGCAAGAGAACCAAGCAGTAGTATTGTGGATTTTTTTTTTTTTTTTTGTAAATGTAAAAATAATTAGATCCAGACTTTGTTTCCTTCTTCAATTTTAAAAATAAAAAATACCTCAGTGCTATGTTTTTCAGTATCACCTGCATTTCTCCAAAAGTAACATCTGCTTTATGTGGCACGTCACTTGTAAGAATCACATTTTGGAGTTTAAAGACTATTAAATATTTTAAAATCACCATCAATGACATTTTCCTTTCTTTTCTTCAACAGAAGCTAACTAACTGTATCAGCATTTTTTACCTTGTAGCTTTAGGTCTGTCTCTAAGTAGTTAATTCTGTCCTGTTACAATAAACAAAACAACAACAAAAGCCTGTGCTGTTATTCACATAGCAAGCTAGTTACTGGGGCCAGGCTACCTAATCTTCATCAGTCTGTGTGGTACCAGGCCACCTAATCTTCATCAGTCTATGATGGTACCAGCTACTTTCTACCAGAAAATCTCCTTTTTGTTCTAAGAAAATAAATATAGTTCCTCACTGTCTTTGTTTATAAGTTTAGGCAGTTAATTAGGAGCCTCTGTTTCTTTGAAGTGTTTTGTCTTAATTCATGGATATTGTTTTTTTCTATCCTATAATATACATTTTTTATGGAGTTAGAGAACTCCTTAGAAGTTTCCAAAAATGATGTTTTTCTTTGATAGTATTATGCTGCTGCCTAACAGCTGAAAGCTACTTTGTAGTTGAGGACCACTTGTAGGTTTCTTTAGAGGTCAGCTGCCCTTTCCACAGCTACTGAGATTAGCTGGGTCCTTTCACAGTCTTGTCAAGTTACAGATTACATTGTGGACCTCACACAGACTGGGAGAACAGCTGTTGTACTGACTGAGTGGAGTGGTAAAGTTCGAGTAGACTTTAAATGACTGATTACTGAAGCTGCTATGATAAAATGAGGTGTCCGTAGCATAAGGAATAATTGCAGGCTCTGACATTAAACTGCCTGGTTTGCCTCCCTGCTCTACAATGTCACCTTGGGTAAGTTGCCCTTTTTAAAAAACCTTGTATTGATGCCTACTACCTAATAGAATCGTGAAGGCCAAGTGAGACAGTGCTTCAGAATAATATCTAGCTCCTGTTTAGCTACACATCAGTGTTTGTTTTACATCTACTTTAGAAATGGCCTAGATAATAGCAATACTACTTTGGAAAGTTAGAAAAGTTAATGAGTTGTATAACACACAGGGAAAAACAAGCACTGGTCATACCACTTTTATTTACATTGTATCTATGTTACATTGTTTATTCAATATAGAAAAAATATGAATACATTCATAGTATTCTCTTTTAATTTGGTAATTCCACATTGTCAAATATTGACTATTTTCATATTGGGTGTCCTACCCAATTAAAAAAAAGAATGGACTTAGCAAACAATTCTAATTGCTATAGTAATTATTACCTTATTTGTCTCTTTAAAAACAATCTAATTTTGAAAAGACATGATTAAACTACTGCTTAGTGGCTAAGGGAAATATTTTTTTAAAAGAAATTCATTCATTCTTTCCACAAGGAAATTTTTAAGGTAAACATCTGAAATGCCTCAGTGACCAAGGAGAATATATTCCTTATAAAGGGGTCATGTTGAAAGAAAATCAAGTGGTAGACCCCATTGCACAATGGTTCTACACATACCAAACAGAAATGGGGACTATATTGACAATTATGTTGCAAAAAGTCCACACTGAGAAGTCGGGTTTCTTTTAAAAATCCATTTTACAAATCAGTGATTATCTTTTTTGGACATAATACTTTCATTAAATGGGTCAAACTCAAAAATCAATGCTACAAAATACAGTATTTTCCATTGCTTTTAGTTGTAATGTACACTATGTACAGAATGACAGTAGTTACCTATCTTAGACTAAATACAGATGAACAAATAGTGTGTTAAAAACCAGAATCAGGACTTATAAATAGTGCAGAAAATGCAAACGCCAAAAACACGACACCTCCTATGATCGTCACTGGAAGAGAAGAAAAAAAAAATTAAATGAAGCAAAATTTCTCCTGTACCCTGATATTCTACAAACAAAATTTTGAGGGAAACAATGAATTTACCTATTTCTAGTCTAGTCAACTAACCTTGAATACAAATTCACTCCATTTATACAGCAAAGAACAACACTTAACATTCCTAATCAATTTCTTTTCTGACACTATTTTGGGAAATCATAGCATTAAATTGAGATTAGTTGCATCCCAAAACCCAATCATAGAGAAGAATGTTCAACAACCTCTGGCTAAAAAAGGGTAGCTATTTCATCGGTAGGCCTCCAGATTATTTATAGCTGCATAGGAAATGTTCAGCAGAATCAGTACACCTGGTTCATACCTGATTCTCAGTCTTAATATGTTTTTAAGATCCAAAATTTCCCATATTCCCATATGATAATTACTATGATATCACTGGTGTTTTTAGATGCACTTTTTATTTAACTGACTTCTACCCATGGGGAAAGAAAGCAGTCCATAGCATTGGGTGATACCTAGGACTTCAAAGAAGATAATTACAAAGACCAAGTGTATTTTTAGAAGAAAGAACTTAAATACAGAACTAACACACACACCCTATTTCTAACCTCTCAGAATGAGAAAAAAGGAAAACAACTGACTTACCAGTTCTGACAGAGATTTTTTGTGCTATCATTCTTCCTCCGATTACTGCCAATCCAGTGCATAAGCAGTGTCCCACTGTTCCACCCACTGCTACACCATAGGGATCCTGGAAAGGAAACATAATCAGCATTAATTTACTAGTTTGAAACGAAAGTTGAAACTGCTACTAAGTGCTGCTGTTAAGAAGCACTGAAGATGGAGGCCAGTCACAAAAAATATAAACAGTATAAAAATCCAGGTGTACTGAACTTCATGAAAGGTATATAACAGCTTCTTGAAGGCATATATACCAGTTGACCTAAACTAGAAAAAACTAAGTAAACCTTTATGGTATAGTATGGCTATGCTTCCTGAAAAAGAAACCTCACTCTTTAGTCATCATGCTGTTAGCTCAGTACCCGGAATCTTTTCATCCAGTCAAATTAGAATCAGCGAAGGTTTTCCAGAAAACAGCTCTGAAGGGCAGCAGGTGTTGTTAGCAAGAGGATTTGATTTTTGTTTTGTAGGGGAAGGAAATGCTAAGGAGAAAGCAGCAGACCAGCGGTAAAAGAAAACCAACTGCAGAGCTCTTCAGCCTTTCTACAGAGAACCAACAAGGCACCAGAGGATTCCACAAGGGAGCCAGGTCACATGAAGGATACTGTAAACTTGGGGTTCAACCTTTGTCTTTAGACACTGTCTGATTTCTACATGGGGCATGATATAACAGGCTTATTGCTTAAAGATCTAAATGGACAAAATGTACTGGAGGGGAACGAGACTGAAGATAAGGTGAGAAGATATGGAAAGAAGCAACACTGGCCTGGTTGAGGTGGGAAGGAAGCTATAGGCCTAGAAAAGGCAGATGACTTTAAGAGAAATTGTGTGGCATACTTAATGCCTCAAGGATAAACAAATGATAAGTGCTCTGAAAATCAGGCATGACACCCAAGTTTCTCCTCTTTAATTATCTGGGTGAATTAAAGTAACTCCATTGAGATTAAAAAGAGGAGGAGGAGCAGAGAAAGGCTTAAAGTTGCTGACAGGAGTAAGAACTGTTAAGAATCAGATGAATGTGATGGTGGAGAAGCTAAGGGACTGAACATAATAACCCTGAGAGAGGATGCTAAAGAAGGATGTTGATAAACAATCCTCAAAGGATGACAGAGGAATCAAAGGAGACTGAAAGGTGGCCAGGCAGTTAGCCTCCCAAGAGACCACAGCAGGTCTTGTCAGTGGCTGCAGTGAGCTCTTCAAGGCCCCCAGTCAGCACTCCTGGTGAGGTTAGATCTGTGGTTCAAAAGGCAGCCAAGTACAATGACATTTATTCCTATCACAGCCAAGCTCTCTGAGACTGTGGGAAGAGGAAGAAAGTGCTATTTGGCAGAGAACTAGACTTGAAGAAAGGGGGCTTCCCACCCCCAACAAAGATGAGAAAAGACTCATGCTAAAAATGCCCCCCAAATTGCGCTGGGTCAAAGGTAAAGATTTAAGATGGGGCAGGGGAGATATTCGAGAAGCTGAGAGCCAGGACATAGGAGAACACAACTGCAGTTGTGAGGGGTAGGAAATGAAGAAAAGCAGGCTATTGCTCTCTGAAGCAGGAGGGGGCCCAGTGCCTTGGCATGGGCAGTGTATGTGCACAGACAGGAAGTGGAAATGGTATGAAGCATGAATGGAAAATTAGGACTACACTTCCCAAATTCTATTTGTGTATTATAACTTCTATAACTGCTACCCCAGAAGATAGCATCATTCTATTTGAGATGATACCTGAAAAAAATCACTAGATTAAATAAAATCCATTTTTCAGATTGTTAATTTATAGACTGAATCCTTAAAAAAGAAAGAAAGGAAAAAAAAAGCCAAGGAAACATCACTTGACAAGTATGACCCAAAGTTCTCTACTCCCAACCCCCTCGTACCCATTAAAATTTCAAAGATACTAGGGTTCTGTGATACGCAACTTAGGAACATCAATGTTGGAAGTAGAGATGCAGAGTAAAATGGTTTGAACCAACTGTGTGGTTCATACCAAAAAAAGGAATATTAACGGAACAAAATAGACACAACACATTTGCCCTTTAACAGCTTACTAAACACCACTGCAGTGCTGGGTATGGAAGGGTGGCTGATGGAGTGCCGTGTTGGGGACTGTGCTGCCTACATGCAGCATCAACCCATGAAGTAGGTGATCCCCCTTTTCGAGTGAGGAAGTGCAGGGAAGTACAGCGATATGGTCACACAACGAGACAAACCAGCAGCATGTGCCATGCTCTAGGAGGCATGGACCAAGTGTCCGGCATAGAGAGGGAGTCCAGTCTTGCCCGGTTACTGCCACACAGAAGAGTGTATAGAAGAAACGCAGGGATTCTGCCATCAGAGCTCACCCTGCAGAACCTCCCACGCCCACCACATACATGGTCACTTACTTTCAAGTCCCAGTTCTGGCAATCTGAAAGTCAACAAAAGACTAGAAATCAAGAAGAATACGGATACAGCCAATAAAGTGACATTTTAAAACAAAATTTGTCTTACGGGAATTGAAAAATAGAGATCCTTTCTTCTCTTTCCCCCTCTTCCCAGAATATAGCATTTGAGACTTCTCTGACAAAACAGCCTTTCCCCAGCTATCTTAGTCTTGGCCCTCAAAATGCTTTATATTTTAAACTGCAGCCTATGTTAATAAACTTATTCTTTTATGAAGACATTTCCAAGGATTTAAAAACTATTTGAATCTGAAATTGTACAATTGGATGTAAATATAGATAAGTATACTAGTTAAGATCAAGAAGAGCCTGAAAAGTAGTTGCAACTTCCATTCCATAACCCTCTCCTCAGTAAATCTTGATAAATCTATGTGAACATTAAAATATTCTGTCTATTCCCCTCAAAAGGAAGAAAGGTTAAGTAAGAAACTAAACCAACAAGTATCTTTAAAATAAGAGGCATTCAACAAGTATGAACAAAACAGGGAAGAAAGGGCTACAAAGGCAGGTCCTTGCCCTGCCTACCAACCAACTCCTGTCGTCACCCAAGTCACCCAATTTCTCTGGGCCTCAGGTTATTTATCTTTATTGAGTAAAGGCTGGAAAGAGATGAACTGAGGTCTCTTGTATCTCACCATCCTAGCACTCAATAATCTAGAGCTAAGACATAACAAAAATTTTCTATACAGAAACAACTCACCCATTATAGTAGTGCCCAAAGATAAGCACTGTCAACATTCTGATTTCCTTAAGTGCTTTTTGTTCTTTGAATACCTTTTAAAATTTCTGTCATTAAAATGATGTTGAAAAGTGCATAATCCAAGAGCTACATAACAATTTGTGGATAACTGAATCAATTCTTTATTAGAAAGTTCAGTCTGTTTCTAGTTCACTCAGTTATAATAAAAACATAAGTAACCTGTGCAACACTCAATTATTTCTTCAGTATAAGGAATAGAGAAACCAAAATTTACACACTTTAAAAGGCCATAAACATTTACTGCCAAACTGGTCTTCAAAAATATTAGGACAATTTATATTTTCAACAAGCACATACAGGCAGGTTCTGAAAAAAGCAAGCAAGCCAAGCCAAGATGGCCATAACTTTTGGGAAAATTGGGGAAAAGGACCAAGCAAGGGGAAAAGAGAAAGCAATTAAATTTGGATATAAAAACGTCATCAGACTGGAAGCAGAAACAAGAAGGCTAATATGAGATGAGATGATCAGAGAGTCTAACATGGGAAACAACTCGCTGGCCACTAACACTGAACAAAGTCACTTGATTGTATTTACTTTTAATATAATCATAGTATTAAGTCTCACCCACCTCTCTAGCTGCCAGAACAATCGTAGTGAGTTGAGAGCGATCTCCCCATTCTGCTAAGAATGTTAGTGTAAGAGCTTGAACAAAAATGGGTGAAATAAAATGCAGCCACTTTTTCTGAGGTATTGTTGTGCTTGTACCCGTTTCAACATCTCCTGGTCCATTTAAGAGTTTGGTTCGTTGAAACTAAAACAAAAAATTACATCAACACTGGGAATCAATAGAAATAGCACAAAATCATTATTATTTTATTTGCTTAAGTTCTATGGAATATGTTCCAAAGAAACTAAATTTCTGTGACCCCAGATTTCTCCTTTGATTTCATATAGTAATATATGTTATATTCAATTCTTCTGTTCCTCAGTAAAACAAATCAAATGGCATTTATTGATCACTTATTATCCTAGATGCTATGGAAGGAACATGTAAAATGATAAAATATAGTTCCTGCTTTTTAGGAGCTATAATCAATCTAATGAAGGGACTTGATTGCCAGGTTTGGTATTCATCTCTACTTCCTTTCTTACCACATTCACAGTAACCCAGAATTCTATCACCGTCAGCTTTAAGAAGGGAAGCTGAACAAAACAAGATATTTTTTTGTAGCTCAGACACAACACGTGGCCACTGAAAAACCCTGAATAGTGCTTATTCCTCACTGAGTGCCTTTTTGGCCCAGATATTTAACAGTGCTATAACTTACTTCTTCATCCTTCTTCTTTAATTCTGCTTGAACTTCTTCCAGTTCCTCTTGACCCTCATCTGGGCTCATCTTCAAGCCTTCCCGAAGCATTCTAATGCCAAAAATGGCAAATAATGCAGTTGAGACATAGTATGTGTACACCCTGGGGATGACGGTGGTGGCATAGCCAAACAGAACTGAAAGAAAATGCCAACAGTGTGTCTGGTTAACTGGCCTTACCACAACAACCAAAGACAGGGTTAACATCAAGAAATCATAACTTACCACTGTTAAAGAAAAGATGGTTCACATTAGCAACTACTGTAATAACCTTAAACAACTCCATCTTTCCCTCCACCAATACTGAACCTTTAAGTCTAACCATGGCCCTCACACAGCTTACTAAGACATCAATGGCATAGTTGAAGATGGTATATTGACCTTCCCTCCAGACCTGTTCAGCCAGGGTCTGGCTTGCCACTTACGTTGTACAGGGCCTAGGACTTGAGGTAGGCTAACTTTGATGCCCTATAAGGATTCTACAGCCTGAAGCCACACCCCTTTCATATGTAGGTACAATTTCTTAATTACAAATCTTTAAATGATTCAAACTCTGCTCCTTTTTAACTCTTTGATGTGATTCACTGTGCTATATTCATTCATATATATATATATATATACATATATATACATACATGTACACACACACACACACACACACACGAAAGTTCAGTCAGATTCATTCCACTCTTCTTCTCTTTTCCTGACCTACCTTCTTCCCCACTCAATCCCGTTCATCTACTCTACTGATTTTTCCTCTATTTGATGAAATCCCCTCTTTTTCCCCCTTTTCTCTCCCCATCCCCTTATTTTGGGTAATATGTATGTCTTATAAGAGAAAACTAGAAATTCCTTATAGATATGTGTATACATACATAAACACAACATAGACATACATTTTCTAGATATGTCCACTGAAAAGCAAGAAACAAAGATGTCTCAGTAACAAAGAGTCCACCTTATACTAGATCTAGCCACTAAATGACTCCTCAAGGCTCCTTAGTCAGAGAAATTGTCTATTCCAAGACTGGGCAGAGAAAGTTCAAGATGAACCTGCAATATTTTGTTATACTAGAAAGTAAGGAAAAGCAAAAACAAAAGAGGATATCACGAGGCCCTAGAGACAGCTTGAAGGGGCTCCCACTGGCCAAATCTGGGGCAGTGTAGCAACACACCAGTTTAATAATTAAAATCACTAGAAAAAGGAGTTAAAGAGCCTATATTGAACAGGCAAACAAATGGCACTTGCTTATAGAATTCCAAAGCTCACTGTTAAATGTGAATCAAATACTGGAATTACAAAGTCATCAATTTACAAGCATAGAGGGAAGGTTTACATCATCCTAGAGTCATCCTAAATCTATGGGGAAACTGTCACAAGTAATAGGGTATTTGTACTGTCTTCAAGTGACTCCCAACAGAGAAAAAACAGAAACCAAAACAGAGCACCAGAGAAATTTGAACTAGGTGATCAAAATGAACATCCCAATAAGGGGAAAATGGACATTGTGTGCTTTTCAGATGGGCTACCGTTTGAGGGACACAGTATCATCTATAGAGTTTTCTAGTCAAGAATGCATAACTTCAGCTAGGTAATCCCAGTGACTTGAGAAGCTAAGGCAGGAAAACTGCAAGTTCAAGACAAGCCTCAGCAACTTAGCGAAACCCTGTCTCAAAAATTAAAAAGGGCTGAGGATGTGGCTCAGTGGTCGAGTGCCCTGAGTTCAATCTTCATACCAAAAAAAAATCTATATATATTTCAATTTAAATTTCAGTTTAAATTTGGCATAGATTTGCTTTTGATAAACTAATAACTATAACTCAATCCATAAGAGATTTAACAAAAGAAACTTTCAATTTCTTTCAAAATTCAGTATTAAAGTTATATTTTTATTGCAGATATATGTAATAGAAGGATTCATCTAAGATTTTTCAAGCAAAACCTTACCATTAAGTTAACCTTATCATCATAAAACTCAATAAAAATAATTATAGGAAGAAAGTTTAAATCAAATAAATAAATGAGCCAAATAAATTTCCGACTCTCAAAAAAGAGTTTATGTCAAGCTGGAATTGGGTATATTTCAAAACACCATAACAGTTTTATTTTATAAAATATATTAGACACTAGACCTTTGCTATTCCTTCTTAAATTTGCAATGAAAAATTTCAGATAAGTTCAGTGGCAGGGGGAGGCATAATTTTTCAAAATTATTTTCAAGACTACACAGGAAAAAAGTGTGCCAGTCCCTGATACTATTTCAAAAAGTAAAGGTGAAAAGTGCTGTCAGCACCAGTGGCTAGAGGATGATGCGAAAGGGTTGGGACAGAAGACAGACACCACAGCTGAGGAGGAACCGAACACACAGAAGACGCTGGGACAAATATCCACAAGCCCAGGGTAGGAAGGGCACAGAGATGACAGCCTCTTGGCCCCCTTGAAGCGAAAGCTTCAACAAAAGATTTCTCTGATACTATTCAAACTCATTCCAAATAAGTGATGTCACTATTTGCAATTCTCTCCTATTCGTATTTACCATCATAGGTACTTGCCTTCAAGGAGAAACTGTTTTTACTGTGAAAAATTAATAATTCCCTTAATAATTTCCAAAAAGTGATAAGCATTCAAATTGTCTTAATTGTTAAAAAAACTCATTTATATGTTTATAAAGACATAATCTTTAACAAGTATTCAGGCATCCCATAGCCAGAAAATAATTTATTCTGCACTTTCAAAAATGAGTTTCTTTATGATAAATCTAAAACATTCTGAGGAAAGAGAGGTGAGTGGCAAAGCACTCTAAATAAAACATCTCGCTAATACAGACCAGAGCCCACAGTGTAAGTGGACATCATTATTTCCATTTTACAGATGGGAAAACTAAATATCAAAGAGATTAAATAACTTTTGTGAAGCTAATACATTGCAATTCAGACTCAAATACAAGTCTGGCTCAAAGGGGAAAAGCTCAATATTTTCCAGCAAACCATGTGGTTTGAGGTAGCTTTTGAATGTAGAGACCATACTTTGTTCAGTTATTTTGGCATTGACTTCTGATACTCTAATGTTCTGAAAAAGTAATGCCCATAAAGTAGTATATCAAACAGCAGCACATGCAGGGAGTACCTGACCATAATGGATAAAAACAGCTTAATATCACAATAAACTGAAAGCTATTTCTCACTGATTACCTCCCTAAATGTCCTTCAACAGGAAAATATGCAATTCTTTTGTTGTTTCTAGAATCCTATTTCTAAAATATCAAATATAAATAAGCTTATCCAGACTGAAAAGAAAAAAAAAAAAAAGCTGAAACAGAATAAAAGTAAGGATAAAACATCACTGAATAAGTGATGAGGGAGTATGCATCTTGGCCGTGAACAGCAAAACATTTCATTTTAAAAGTGAGATGTGGCGTTTAAGAATTTATGTACTGACATCATTTGCTGACTAATTTCTAGAATATAAAACACATTCCACTATAACTGGCCCAGTGATTCAGTAGTCAATGCCTCGCACAATGCTTTCCATTCACTCACCTCTCACTGGGGGAAAACACTCACCTGACAAGCAGGTCATCAGGGCCAAGGCAAGCATAGCCCCAGCCAGCACCGTCAATCGGTTATAGCGCATCGCCATGATGGCTGCTATGAAAAATGTCTTATCACCCAATTCAGACACAATGATGACTGATATGGCAGCGACAAATGCATGAATAAATCCCAGATTGGTTTGGGTAGCTGGGTCTTCTTTATTTGTGTGAACTGGGGCTGCTGGTGTAAATCCTTTCTGGAAGAAAAAAAAATAATTATTAAATAATTATTAGTTACTTTTTGAAATAAATTATTTAACATTCTTTTATTTTACATGTGAATAAGATTCTTTTTTTTTTGTCATGGTCATATTTATCACTTTCAAAGTCAGTGGTAATGATGATGACCTTTGATGGTCGATCCTACAATGCACAGCTATGTAAAAATTCTCCAAACTGATTTAAAGAAAATATAGACCAGCTATTATATTAAAATTACCTTATTTTCTAAGTATCTGTTATCTGAGATTTAGTTCTTAGCTAAGTCCCATTAAATTTTTATTAGTAACTTGGGTGGAAGTCCCAGGTATGATTATCAAGCATTCAAGTGACATGAACTGAGAGACAAACTTCAACTGAGACACTATAAAATTAACAAAGTAGGACCCAAAAGCTCTCACAGGCTATATTAAGAATTGGCTAAGCTGGATGCCATGGCACATGCCTGTAGTTCCAGCAACTTAGGAAGACTCTATCTCAAAACAAAAAATAAAAAGGGCTGGCAATGTAGCTCAGTGCTAGAATGCTCTGGGTTCAATCTCCAGTACAGGAAAAAAAATAAAAATAAAAAAAGAGTTGGTTTTAGCTAAGACAAGGTTTAATATAGATTGATGTGTACATGGTCCCACAATTAGGTCTAAAAAATTCTTGAAGGTAATGTGGCCTAATAACAAGACAAACCATAGTCTTGGTTAGCATGAAGTTGAAAATGTGTCAAAGTTTCAAAAGGCAATAAGCATTGTGCATTAAGGAGTTAATGGCAACCCCATAGTATTCTACACTGCTTGGCCCTTCCCCAAAGTGCTGTACACAGTTCTGAGGTCCCACTCTTGAAAACACCATCCTCTGAAGATCACCCAAGATGGAAAGAGAATCTAAAACAAGGGCTTGGCAAGCTCTGTGGAGGCCAACGCAGCCTGTTTGAGAAAGGGATGTTTTTACCTATTTAAGAGGATGTAAAAAAATAAGAAATAGGGAAGAAGGGAGGTTAAGAGATGGGAGAAGGAGAGAGGGAAGGAAAGAAATAAGATTACACAACAGTGATCTCATGTAGCCAGCAAAGATGTAATCTGCAAAACCTAAAATACTGTCTGGCTCATTACCAAAAAGTGTATTGGCTTGGACTCTAAGACAATCACAAGAAACCAGGAAAGACAGTAATTGGTAAAGTCTGTTGTTAGTCTATTCCCTCTATATGGTCCCAAGAGGCAGAAGTAAAAAAAAAAAAAAAAAAATTATAGGTGCAGGTTTCAGATTAATTCAGAGAAAAGATTCCTATTCAAAAAAGAGCCACTCAAAGCTGGAATGGGCTGTAAGAGAAGATGAGAACTTCCCTTCTCAATGTCCGAGTGCCAGGGAAGGGAACCACCACTTCCAAGAAACTGACTTCACTCTGGTTCTCAACCAGGACACCTATATCTCCAAGAGGGCAGCTGGCAATGTTTAGAGACACTTAACATAGTGCTTTCCTGCTGGATAAGGTTTTTATATGAAAAAAATTCATTGTAAAATTTCAAAATCTTAAATTGAAGGAAAATTTGAGGGATAAATATATACAATTTATGATCAATTAACACTAAGGTCAAAAAGAAAATGTTTACTTTTAAAATCAAATCACAATAGTGATCAAAACTACATATTTCCATGGTTTTATAATTCCTAACCACAAAACCTTGGCTACATTATTTAGTTTCTGTTCCTCTGTGAGATGTGGAGGATAAAATAAAACTTGAGACTACAACAAAACTACACATTCTTAAAAACCTTCCTATATAGAGAACATAAGAAAAGTTAATTTATAGCTTTTGTTGCATAAAAAGCCCTAGATAGCCAAAATCATACTGTTAAATATGATCCTGGTGATAAAACCCTATGACAACTGGAGACTGGAGCAGGAGGATCACCAAGTTTGAGGACAATCTGGGCAACCAAGCAAGACCTTATCTATAAATAAAAATAAAAAAAGAGCTGAGATACAGCTCAGTGGTACAGTGCCCTGAGTTCCGTACTCAGTACTGCCAAACGAAAAAGCAAACAACAACAACAAAACCAAAACAACTGGAGACAAAAAGTACCAGGGCATTGGGATGACAGAAGATTTTTTAAAATAAAAATATTATAAAAATACTGGAAGGGTTGGAAAATTATCAGTTATCATTCACTGGCTGCTCACTATATACAAGGATCATTTTCTCTGCTCTACCGTCACAGCGGTAGAATCCGTAGCACTGGAAACAAAAGGTCTGGGTTCATATCCAAGGGTTTACCATTTACTGTGACTTTGGGCCAGTAAGTAAACTTTGCTGTGACTCAAGTTCATCTCTAAAGTAAGAGGTAACTATGCCCCAGGATTGCTGTGAGCTAATGAATGAAGTCCTTAAGATGGTGCCTAGCACTCAGTTTTTGTAGCATCGCACAACATGACCAGCTTATTTATCTTCGTGAAACTGATTATACCATGTTGCTACATTTTAAAACATAAAAAGAAGTAAAATTATTTGAACTATTTTAACCCAATACCACTAAACTACTATTTAAATTGTAAGCAATATTTTAAAAATTACTAATGAAATATGTTAATTGTTTTTTTTTTTTCATACTGTCTTTAAATTCTAGTGTACATGACACATGGCTCATGGCTACAGTACTGGCAGTGCAACCTGAGCGTCTGCCAAGCTTCTGCTTACCACAGGCCCTGAGTGAATCACACAGTCCCACCGTTCTGAACTCCTTTTCATTATGGTCCTATTAATCAAGATTCCTCAAGAGATGGGGAGGGGAGGGGACAGAGGTGTAGGAAAGACGGTGGAATGAGAAGGACATCATTACCCTAGATACATGTATGATTGCACAAATGGTATGACTCTACATCATGTACAGAGAAATGAAAAGTTGCACTCCACTTGTGTACAATGAAATGAAATGGATTCTGCTGTCATGTATAACTAATTAGAATAAAAGTAAAAATAGACTCCTCAAGAGACAACTCAAGTAAAACCTCTTGAGCAAAGCCTACCCCAGTAACTTCAGCTGTTAATGATCCTGCACCCCCTAAAATAAAACTCTACACACACTATAGGCAGTAAGTCACAGCAGAGACAGGAAAAAAACTAAGTTTAAGATAGAAACACTCAGGAACTCACCTTTTTGTATTAGAAACATGTATAAATGTAATGCTATCATTTGTAAAGAAAAAAATAAATTTTTATCAATAGAAACTATTAAATGGTAAATCCATGTAACAATAGTATGAAGCTAAAAGATGTTCTATATATACTAATATAGAAAAATCATTAAGAAGCTTCAAATATATGTCTGTAGTCATCATAATGGGGGACACATGTAATATATAATATGTATACAACTGTAAATATGGACCAAATCTCAAGAAACAGTAATGGATGTTTCGAAGGAAGGAACCAGAATAACTAGGAGTCAGCAAACTTTTTCTTAATCAAATATTTAATAGCTTCATGGGCTACTTAGTTTCCATCGTAACTCTGCTGCTGCAACTTGAAAGCAGCTGTAGGTGATACCTGAGTGAGTATTGCTGTGTTGAACTAAAACCTTATTCACAAAAAACAAGCAGTTAGTGAAAAACTGATCCCTGAACTAGAATTCAAGTGGAAAAAGCAGCATATTTCTCACTATAGGTTTCTCTCTACCTTCTAGATTTTATCATGCACATAATTATAGATATGAAGTGCATCACTTCAAAAACCTCTTAACCTAGCCTCTTACTCCAGCTCTTGGAAATCATTCCTTGCAGTCTAAGGCTGGCTTCAGGCAGGTCCAACCTGAAAGCACACTGTTCTGCACTTAAGTTTTGCTACCTGGGCATGTGGGGAGTTAATGGTGGGTCAACCTTTGACCAATTAGGGAAATCTGTTGTGAGATTCATTTCATAAGGCTCCTTGAAGGTCTCAGTGTTATGCAGTACTAGTCACTCTTGGTGCAGCTAACTTGAACAAGTATTCATCTCCTTTCCTGTACTGGCAATGGGAAAGAATGCAAGCATGTTCTGAGACCAGGCAGTAAGCCATCAGATGAATGACTGGGCAAGATGAGAAAGATACTGGGTGTAGACTGAAAATGTTATAGTTATAGTCTAACTTAGGAGCAACAGTATAAGACATAGGCACTGTGACAAATAATCAGAGCAGAGTTGAGAATATCAGCTACTGGACCAATTAATTAGGAGGTCAGCTGCATAACACAGTGCTGAGGACAAATTAGAGAAGGAAGAAAGTATACATATAATAGAAAGGAAAAAACAAATCAATGGGCCTTTAAAAAGAGAGAGTAGAGGATCAGAAATAGCTTTGAGGCTCGTTGAATGAGAAAAATATTAGTACTCCTAAAAGATAGGTGGGAAAGAGGAATCAGATTGGTTTCAGATGTGTTCAATTTGAAGTGACATGGAACATTTCAAATGAGGTTTTCTAAAAGGTCTCAGAAGTGGCTCTTATTAAGACAGGACAGCCTCACAGTTGTACCTGGTTGCTGCAACCTCAATTAGCTGAAACTTTGTAAGTAGATGTGATTTCCACAAAAGGCAGAGATAACTCAGAAAATGAGTCTTAAGATTAAGCCTACAACAGTTCTGTTGTTCCCCAGACATGGAAAAACCAAAGTAGGATTTACAGTGTTCCTCTTGAATTACCTTCATCTTCAGGTTGGTCAACTCAAGGGAAGAGAGCTGTCTCATTTGTAGCATTATGTAGTCATGTCTTTCAAAGTTCACAATGCCTTTAAATTTGACTCTCATCTATACCCTAAGATTAATTTCCAGCCTATTTTCCAGCTCCCATCTGTCAACATGGCCTGGACTTATCATTTCTTATCCTGAGTACTTCTCTATTACTTTAAGCTTGGTTACATTTTAACACTTGGAGGTAATGTTATATCATTTTTCTGTGTTTCTAAAAAGGAGGGAGCTTCCCACATATTTATGTCTCAACATACTCATATGATATTC